TTCAAATAGATATATTCTTCCATCAACATTAATAATTTATTAAATTCAATTTTATTAATTAATAAAATCTAATGCATTATATATAAATAATTAATTAAAACTTCCCAGTGGAATAAAGATTTATAAAACGTTTCTTTGCCACAAAAGGATGAAACCAAAGATATTCATTATGTGTCTCCTTATTGCTTAAATAACTGGGTCCTTCAATTTTCCCTAAAACTTCGTTCGAAACATTCCAAAAATAAAAATCATTTACACTGTTTTTAGAAATCATTTCTTTCTTAAATCCTTCCAACCTAACTTTAAAGCTTAAAACTGTCGAGCAGTTCTTGACATCTGAAGGGAGTTTGTTCCAGTAAGGAATGACTCGCTCCGGAAGAAAAGAAGACTGGAGATTCTTAACTTTAGTTACACTCTTACTACACCTATTGGTTGAAACTAGATTAAGACCAGATCTGCTCATTCTGAACAAACCCGATCCATATTCAGTCAAACCACTAGTTACTTTAAAAGCTTCAATAAGGTCCCCACGTACTCGCCGCTCTGCCAGCGTTGTCAAATTGAGGATATCCAGTCTACGGCTGTATGGAAGAGTACCCACCTCATCAATAAGACGGGTAAACCGCCTCTGGACGCTCTCCAGCTCCAAAACAGTCCCCCAACTTCCATGAGCCGCAACTGGATTCCACAATTGGACACAATACTCAAGATGAGGTCTTATCAAAGCTTTATAAATAGCTATCATTACAACCTTTTCTCTAATAACTAAGTTCCTTACAATCCAGCAGATCATACGATTTGCTTTAGAAATACATGCTTTTATCTGTTCATTCCAAAGCAAGGAGCTATGGGTAATAACCCCCAAATCTTTTTCCTGTGCAGATACTTCTAGTTCTACTCCATTTACAATATAATTCGAGTTAGGATTATTATTCAGATTAATATGGACTACTTTACACTTGGCAGGATTGAAGTTTAAGTAGTAGAGGCTCTTACGGGCATTGTCTGCTCGATACGTTAGGGACCCCAGATACACCTTACTAGACGTATTTTTGACCGTAGAATCGATTGAAAGTGGTTTCAAGATGATTGGACTGATTGTTCTGGGGTAAAATCGCAAAAAACCGATTTTTGGGCCAAAAATAGGCCAAAAAACCATGTTTTTTGATATTTTGAGCAAGTTAATTTTGTTGGCATGTCGGCAAAACTTGCATAAAGATAGCTAAAAGACAGCCGCACAAGATTGTATAAAAATAAAACAAATCCCTCTATTTGTTCTGAGGTAAAAATCCAAAAAAGTGGTAAAAATTTTGACTTTTTTGCTTGAAGTTTGAATAATTTTTTGCAGTTGTATTAAATCAACCCAAAAATAGTTACATCGTGTTTGCCTAAATTTTTCCTTTCCGAGAAGTACCCACTTCATATACTTTATCGAAGTTTGAATATTTTCACTCCGCAAGCGTTTTTGCCAAATTTTCGACGCGCACTACGCGCAAAAGCATTTAGTTGTTATCAATTGGCACCCGCGCGTTCATCATAAATTTCAAACAGCTATAACTCAGCGAGATTATGTCCGTTCTAGCTCATATTTTCACACTAAATAGAAAATAATGTGATCTTATTGCTGACAAAATATGAATATAATTACTCTATTTGCCTTAGAGTAATAGACTGTCAAAGTTTAAAACGCGCATTGGTATAGCACGTGACTAATAAGGCCAAATTTATACTTCTTAACATATTATCGATCCTTAGACATCATACTATTGTGTCCAATTAGCGGTTAGGTCTCTAAACTCGTAGCAGAAAACACGTCTTTTTGCCCGTAAGAGCCTCTACTAAAGTGCCAAATACTCTCCCAAATTTCGAGTTCTAAAATATCATCAGATACACTTTTATGGTTAGCTGCATTACAAACTAACTTGAGATCATCTGCAAATAATTTAATCTTATTTTTAACATTGTCAGGTAAATCGTTTATATAAAGAATAAATAACAAAGGACCTAATACTGACCCCTGGGGAACACCAGATAATACGTGTTTCACCTCAGACCATTGTCCTTCTACACAAACCCTCATGGTTCTGTCTGTCAGAAAGTCTTTTATAACATCTAAAACTTTTCCCTTGACCCCAAACCCCTCCAATTTAGATAGAAGTCTAAAGTGGGGGACTGTATCGAAAGCCTTACTAAAATCAAAATACAAAAGATCAACAGGAGCACCTTCGTCTAAAATATCAAGAATATTATCAAATGTCTCTAAGAGATTAGATAGACAAGATTTACCCTTCACAAATCCATGCTGATGCTTTGAAATTCGTTCTTCTAAAAATGTTAATAAATGTGCCCTCACCAACTTTTCATACACTTTGCACAAAATACAAGTTAATGAGACAGGTCTATAATTTAAGGGATCAGATTTAACACCCTTTTTGAATAATGCTACAACAGATGCTGTCTTCCAAATGTCAGGCAGGACTCCTGTTTCTGAACATTTAACAAATAATTTAGTAACAGCTTCAACAAACATTTCATCGTATGCTAAGGATTTCAACAACTTTGGATGAACGCCATCCGGACCAGAACTCTTAAAAACATTAAGCTTTAAAAGCTGCTTCTTGATATCAGAACTGCTAATTTCCATATCATCAATCACCTCTTTGTTATAACTCTCATTTTGGGGAAGAGGGCCAGGTGGTTCACGCACAAACACAGAACTAAAGGCACTAGCAAGTACCTCAGCTGACTCAGATGAACTATTTGTGCGTGTACCATCTCCTCTATCTAAAGAAACAACACTTGATTTCACTTGACGTTTATTACGCAAATACGAGTAAAAAGATTTACAATTCTGTTTTAAATTAGATGTAATCTTCTTTTCATAATTTACTTTAGCTTTAATCTCTGCCACCTCAAAATTATGCTGCTTGCTATTTGCACAGCTCAAGTTAATATAAGAAGGATTAATATCAAATTCAGCCCATGCTCTGTCCTTGTTCTTCCTCATTCTTTTAAGTGCAGTTGTACTCCATGGCAACTTGACAGGTCTGTTGTCGAGATAAACCGAAGCAGCTGGGACAGCTGCAGCAACAGACTCCAATTTACTATGTAGTTCAACCCACATATCTTGAACATTATTTTTACAACTATAATCCCAGTCAATATTATTCATACTAAAGTTAAATAACTCTTCTGAGGAAATCTTACCCCAAATAGGCTTTAAAATCTTTTGTTTGGGACTTTTGTTAGTATTGGGCAAAACAACCAGTTCGACAAGTATCCCAACATGATCACTTTTGCCAAGCGGAGAAACGATCTTACAACCGTTGACAAGAGCATCATTTGTATACAAAACCTGATCAAGAAGACTCTCCTGGAGAGTATCTTTCACAAGCCGTCTTCTGGTTGTTTCGTTAGTAAAGTACCACGTCAAACCACTGTCATTAAATAAATCAATATACTTTTGTTGAATCATTAAAACCTGATTCTTACTAGAAATACCACTATTTACACTACCAGTTTCCCATGATACATTAGGTAGGTTAAAATCTCCTATGATAATGGTTTCAAAAACATTCTTTTCACTAGATATGTTCTTGATGCAAGATAATAACATATTGTTCTGTTCTAAATTCAAAGAAGTAGACCTATAAATACAGCAAATACTAATCAATCCACCAGAGGTATTGACATTAATAGCTAAAGAGTCTGGTGCTTTTAAAAATGAGCTCACTAATGACGCATTACAACTGTTTTTAATATAAATAATAGAACCTCCACCTCCACTTATGTTGCTAGTGGAGTTATCGATTTTAAAATCTCTGTCTTTTCTAAACATACTAAAACCTTCAATAAAAATTTCAGCATCTAAAATATCACTATTAAAATGAGTTTCTGTAATGCAGATTACATGAATAGATTTATAAACTGATAGAATACATTTTAGTTCATCAATTTTATTAAATAGTCCATTAGCATTAGTATAAAAAATATTCATGGGCTGACTACATTCTTTGTTACTGCTATTTACTTCTTCTCTGCCTTCTTCTCTGTCTTTTTCTTCTCTGCTTCTTCCCGCCTCTTCTTCCTCTCTTCTCTGGCTAAAAAACGGATCTCTCGGTCTGCTCTGCAGAGATCCAGATTTATCCAGTATGATGACTCTTTCCAGCCCTTGCCATGGTTGGAATAATAGTTAACTGACTCCTGGTCAGCTGTCTGGATGATCAATGGCCGACAGGAGTCTGGCTTGTCTGAATCCACTTTACCTGCACGATGGCAACTGATAAAGTCACTTTTTTCAATCTTTAATGTCTCCTTGCAGAAATACGAGTCCTCTTCCTGACGTAGCTTGGAGTTAGCTTTCTTGCTCTCTGGTACATTCAAAACACACAGATTGAGCTTCCTTAAATTCCGCTCATATGCATCAGTGTGCATCTTTGTCTGAACTTTACTGACAACACTTTGTGAAGCTTGCTGTATGCTCATTTCTTCAATAACTTTCTTTTGACTATTTGCAGTCACATCTGCCCAGGATTTGAAAGCCTGGTTCACTATTTTTGTGATTTCTTTTGGTTTTTCAGATGAATCATTAGAAGAACTGGTATGACTCACAGAATCTTCAACAATTCCTCTGATACACGGAGTTAGGGCCTCAAGTTCTTCTCTAATAACATTTCTCAGGGTCTTGGTTTCTTCACTGTCTGGATTTGTGGACTGGCTCCTCGTGCCCTTGATGTGGGGGGAGATAAAGCAATTTTGGCAGCGCCAGTTAGTCAAGCGGTCACCTTCTTCCTGCGTTAATCCTGTAAGCCCAACACAGCAGTAGTGCCAGTACATTTCGCAAGTTGCACATGCCAAAGAAAACTCCTCCTCAATATATTTTCTACATTCACAGCTGCGATCTTCTTCGTCGTCAATTTCACCATTATCTGTTGTCCCACCGATCTTTTCTGGACTTCTCTTGACATTTCTGGATCGTGTACTCTTTCCGCGTGTCATACCTCAAATTATTTGTTATATAGTAGTGTTGAAAGTATTAAAGTGCTGAAAGAGAAGCATCCCAAGGCATCACCTGCATCAAAGGGAAGCTGTCTGAGTGGACCAGTGAGGAGGGTAGAGCCGGTTATATTCGACAGTATTGACGGGGAATCGATAAGACAAGCAGCAAAGAGAGTACAGGGTGCTGCAAGGCCTTCAGGGATGGATGCGGATGCATGGAAGAGACTACTGTGTTCTAAACAGTTTGGTAAGAAGTGTGAGGATCTATGTAATGCCATAGCAGGGATAGCAAGGAAACTATGTGTCCGGAATTTGGATCCAACGCTGTTGACCTCATTGACAGCATGTCGACTTGTCCCCCTGGATAAAAAGTCTGGAGTCAGGCCAGTAGGCATAGGTGAAGTCTTAAGAAGGATAATAGGGAAAACAGTAATGACCCTCCTACAGAAAGATCTGGTTGGAGCCACTGCTCCTATTCAAGTTTGTGCTGGTCTTCAGGGAGGAGTGGAAGCAGCAGTCCATGCTGCAAGGGACTGCTTTGAAGACCCTGAAACTGAAGCTATCATCTTAGTGGATGCAGAGAATGCATTCAACTTGCTGAACCGAGAGGCTGCTCTCAACAACATGAACATCGTTTGTCCAGAAGTTGCTACTTACATTATGAACACCTACAGAATGCCTGCTAGACTGTTCATTGCAGGAGGAGATGAGCATCTTTTTAGTGAAGAAGGGACCACACAAGGTGATCCACCTGCCATGGGATTTTATGCCTGTGGTACAATACCATTGATTGATGCAGGAAACATTGAGAGAAAGGTGACTCAGATCTGGTATGCTGATGACTCTGCTGCTGGGGGAAAACTGGAGGAAATAAGGAAGTGGTGGGATAACCTCTGTATTAAAGGACCACTCTTTGGATACAACCCTAAATCTTCTAAAACATGGGTGATAGTCAAGCCTGAGCACGAAGAGAAGGCAAGAACCCTATTCCCAGATGTCAATGTGACAAGCATTGGTCGACGATATCTGGGCAGCTTCATCGGAACAGACCAAGGAAAAGAGGCTTTCATTGAGGAAAAAGTTCAAGAATGGTGTCGTGATCTTAAACAGTTAAGTGATATAGCATCAAGAGAACCTCAAATAGCATACAGTGCATACATGTATGGGCTTAGTAAAAGATGGAACTATGTGTGCAGAACTACCCCAGGAGTTGCAGATAGGCTCACTCCTCTAGAACAAGTAACACGTGAGGAGTTTATCCCAGCTATCATTAACAGGCTGTTTAGCTGCACTGATGAACTAAGGAACATAATGGCTCTACCACCAAGATATGGAGGATTGGGTATACCAGTTATGATGGAAATGGCAGACCGAGAGTACAATTTCTCATGTAGAGCCACAAAACCCCTTAAAGAAGCTATTCTCAAGCAGATAGACAACTACACAGAGGACTGGAGACATAGTAAAGGAGTGAAAACTGAGATAACGACAGAACGAAATGTTGGAACCCTGTTCTTGGGTTAATTAAATAACAAATAATACTCAATTATTATAAATACAAATTAGATGAATAAAGAGGTTATACAAATCTTGTGTCAAAAGTAACCTTGTTACTCTACAATGTACTCTCTTAAATAGTGAATGATTGATATGGTGTGACTCAGTAACTCACACTACTCTGCTCTGACTAATAGTTAAAACACATTTCAATACTAAACTAAACAATGTCTTTTTTACTATTAGATTAAACTACTATTAAATTAAAACTACTACTCCTGATGATGATGTTCTTCTTACTATATGAGGGACTTCTGAATGATGAGGACTTCAAGTAAAACTGGAACTGATAACTATAAAACAAAACCCTGGGGGAAAACTACCGTGAGTAAAGTGAAAGGTAATCCACGTGAAACTATAAATGAAAGTGAAAGAGGAAGCGGGAACTCCTAGACTAAACTACTAAACTATAACTATAAACTACTTACCACTCTTTCCACGTCACAGAACACAGATAGTATCTGTCGACTGGAATCTGTGGGATCACTAAAACAACGTCACTCCTCTCCCTTCTGCTACGCTAGAGTCTGGAGTCGACAACGTCACTCCTCTCCCTTCTGCTACGCTAGAGTCTGGAGTCAACTAAACACTGGACACTCCTCTCTCTTCTGTTACTTCAACTAGAGTCTGGAGTCGAGCCTTGTCTGCCTTCTGGAGTCCCTTTACCCCAACACTGTATATACAATCACTGGAACTAAACCTTTGCTAAAGTGAGATACAGGGTTAGTAATATGAAGTACAAAAACAAGCTACAAATAGAATTAAGATTCTAACACGAAATCTCTTTTATCGACAAAAACAAGCAGAAATACGCCAGGAGCTCGAGTCAACACCACTGGCAAAGTTGATGTTCCAACTAGCGGCTGAGAAAGGGGCAAGTGCTTGGTTAACAGCACTACCTTTAAAAGAGTATGGATATCTGATGAATAAACAACAGTTCTCAGATGCAATAGCTCTCAGATACAACCTGAACTTAAAGGACTGCCCTAAAACATGTACGTGTGGCCAGAAATACTCAGCAAACCATGCGCTCATCTGCAAACTTGGTGGATATGTGTCACTGCGGCACAACTCACTGAGAGACACCTTTGCAGAACTAATGAGAACTGTGAAATGCAAGGATGTGCAGACTGAGCCAGTTCTTCTTCCAGTTGATGGTCTACAGTTACCAAAGGGAACAGTCCTAGGAGACCAAGCCAGGCTGGACATTTCTGCAAGATCGATTTGGAATGCTTCAGAGAGGGCATTTTTTGATGTAAGGGTATTTCATGCCCCAGCCCCCTCCAATGCAAGCAAACCGATACAAGCAATGTACCTGTCCCATGAAAATGAGAAAAAGCGATGTTACAATGCAAGGGTTCTTGAAGTGGAGAAAGGAAGCTTCACACCTTTAGTGTTCTCGACTTCTGGTGGAATGGGTGGTGAAGCTGAGAGACTGGTCAAGAAGCTGGCCAGTAAGATGGAGTACCACACTGGCCAGAGGTACTCAGACGCTGTAGGATACATAAGAAAGCGCCTTCGCTTTGAAATCCTCAGAACAACAGTGATTTCTCTCCGTGGAGACAGAGGTGCGAGAAAAAACATTGTTGATATAAACAGTCTAGATCTTAACTTGGAGCCACAAGGCCAAGGGTAAAAAATGTTTGATTGTTAAGGGAATTTTTTGAATTCTTAAAGGGTTGATTTTATATAGGGTCATTGCTATATTATGTGTATATTGTTTGAATATTTTATTATATAGGGTCATTGTGACAATTATGTGTATATTGTTTGAATAATTTATATTCTAAATATCTTTCTACAGCGCATCTTGATAAAGGTTAACATCCTCGTCTAATGTTTAGTATTCAGAAATGTTAAGCTCTGAAATCTTTTCTTAATTTATCTCGATGTCGATTTTGCTTAGTAAACCTATTTTCGTCATGTAAACGAGCTTTGTGAGAATATAATATACATGTGACTTAGATCCGAATACCTCTTCGATAGTGATCAGAATTGGGGCGGCGCCAACAGGCAAAGTTACGCCATTGCAGTCGATCTTCGAGATTATTCTAAAAGGGCCCCTGACAGTTGAAATCTACCTGGTTCGATGTATTTTCGAACGCTGACTGCGTTTTGATCTACTCAGAACCTGTATAATCTCTATCAGGGGGTACAGAGGTACCAGAACCCTTCCACCCACGGCAATAAGTGATTTGGACCTTAACCTGATCAACACTCTTAAACCCTAAAAGGTCATGGAGTGCTTGTTGGATGGGGGTCTAAACTGCTTTTTGTTGTGATGTGATTTAGTGGATTTTATATATATTATTACAAAGGGTTTTATTTTTACCTCAGTTTTTAAATTTGTACCATTTTTACAGAATTTTTATATAGGGTCATTGCTATATTATGTGTATAATTTTAATATATGATATGTGTTTTTCGAACGCTGATTCCGAATTACCCCACATGACAACAAGATACAAGATACAAGAGCAGGTCTCTCCCGAACGTTAGGATGGCCTGAGGTGCTTATCTCCTTTTCAGTAACCCTAAGCCACTCTGTGCCGAGGCACTACACTAGCTGTAGGGGGGGTTAGCCAGAGAATGTGTATCATCAGCCCAGGGACGTAGCCAGGATTTTTCTTTGAGGGGGCTGTCGGCGAGCGAAGCGAGCCGATGCGTCCAATCAAGCTGCGGAGCAAGCTGTGGCAGGGGTCTGGGGGCGCAGCCCCCAGCGGGGTCCAGGGGGGGAGCCCCTTGGCGGGGGCTAGGGGGGCGCAGCCCCCCGGAAATTTTTTGCGAAACAGGGTGTTTTAGACGACATTTGGCATTAAAGAAATTTGTAGGACAGCAATAAACTGGGATTGAAAAGAATCAAGTACTCACGTAAATTTGGTAACTTCACAACAGCAATCTGCATTCTCCAATCAGAATTTACGACTTACTCAGGCCTCATCGTCTTAAGATTTTTACATTTCCTACGGTCTAGGGGACACTATTGACTATAATTATAGAAGTCTTCTAGAATGTTTGCTTGGATTTAATGACATATATTTACTAATCCACAGTTCAAATCTTTGACTGACTGCAGTCATAAACACAGCCCAGTTACCAGGCGACCATGGGGACTAGGGGGCTTATCTTTTTTCTGGGGTTCGATTTTTTCCGGGGGGGGGGGGGGGGGGGGGGGGGGGCTGCCGCCCCCCTAGCCCCCCCCCCCCCCCCTGGCTACGTGCCTGCATCAGCCGAAGTTGTAACAAATCACAGCTTGGTAACTGGCCGACTTGCATCCAACCGGATTTGAACCCGGTGTTACCACTACACCACCCACATGACAAAAATGCTCCCCTAGAGAGATATCGGTGAAAAACTGTTTCGATCACGTGATATGACCATACAATGAAGTTGGTCTAATTTCTCGTTAGGGTTAGGGTTTTAGCACGTGATTCAGTTAGGGATTGGGTTAGAGTTAGGGTTGAGATCAGATTTTTTTTGTTGATAAGACAATTTTACTATTTATCACCAATTCAATTAAAGGGTTAGGGTTTCGAATAGTCATTCAGAGCCACCTAGAGGACGTGTTAAAAAGTCACGCGACAGTCGAGTTTAGAGTGATTAATTATCATCCAGAAAGCTTCTCATTAGCTTTGTCAGTTTTTAAGTTTCGCCACACCAACAATATGACAAAATTACGACAGACACATGCAACTTCATTATATATAAACAGGAAACGATGTAACAGAGTCAATATATTTTAATGGTGCCATGGGGTGGCAAGTCCCCATACATCGTAGTCCGATAGTTTCACTGCGTCATAATATAAGTGCTTTACAATGTGCACAACTGCCACCGATTTGGCAACCAAAGTGTTATACGTGACTGTGACCAACTAGATTTTGTTAACTATACAGTATACACTGCCCTCAACTGTATTTACCAAATTATGAAAGTTAGTTTGGCAACAAAATGTACAGATTCCTTTCTGTCTGTTTCTTTGCAAATCAAACTGCTGTAGCATTTGTACATGAATATTTTAGTTAATTTTGGTTCATGATCTCCTGTTCCAGAACCTCGTGACTCAGAACCCTTGTCTAACCCCAAACCCAACTCTTACCCCAACGCGACGCTCACTGCACCATGACCACAACCCCTTTTAATTTACTGAGGCATAACATCCAGGTAGGAAGATGGTCATCGTTCACAATTCAAACAAGTAACTTAACAATTACTTGAATCATTAGTAGAGGGCAACTCTGAACAGTTATGGCTACATTTCAAGATTTTATCTTTGAAAACGAGGAACGAGACGGTATCAGATTCAGCTGGAATGTTTGGCCTTCCAATCGTCTGGAAGCAACTCGAATGGTAATTATTGATATTTCGTACAATATTTCAAATATATCTTATTCTAAAAACAAAAATTGTCTTTTCTCAACCTGAGGGCCATCCAGTGGTGTACTAACAGGATCAGTGATCACCATTATATATTACAGATGTAAAGTCACAATTGATTGATTTGTGAAACAAGACATTATATTTTAAAATACTAATTAAAGCATTGTATTGCAGAAATGCTTTATAGTGTGTGATACAAACTTGCAAATTCTATCTTGAAATCAGTTATTTAATCTGAAATATTGCAGGTTGTTCCACTTGGTTGTACCTATACACCATTGAAAGAGCGTCTTGACCTCCCTGAGTTGTGCTATGAGCCTGTGTTGTGTTCTCGTGCTAGCTGCAAGGCTGTCCTGAATCCTCTGTGGTAAGTATTTGCCTTTTTAGTATTCCCATGCCACACTTTCTGAACATAACCATATGCTAGTTATTTGTGAGTTGCATATTTTCAATATCTCACTTATAACTGGTAACATGTCACTAATTTTCTGTTCAAGGCAAGATTCAGTTCCCTGATTAATTAATTTCTTAGTGATGAAAAGAACATGTAATTTAATATGTAACGTGTTTCAGCCAAGTGGATTACAGAGCCAAGCTGTGGGTGTGTAACTTCTGTCTACAGAGAAACCCATTCCCTCCTCATTACCAGGGTATCACTGAACAACACCAACCTGCGGAGCTCATCCCTAATTTCAGGTATTGCAGATAGCTTAGTATTAAAAGGAGACTGTCAAAATAGATTATAGCGATAAAAAGCTTGTCGAATCAAAGCTGACGTACATAGTGTAGTCTGGGCCTGGTTAATGTGCTACATAAGTCAATTCATACCCATATTTTTTTATTGAAAATCTTTTCAAAATAGTACATACATCAATGTAATTGCATGAAAATAACACGGTCAAAAAGTGATTTCTATGTACTATAATGACGGGAAACCAGAACGTAGTTCGTGCAAAAATTACACCTACAAAATATGGTCCCTGACAAAACATTTCATACAATCAACACATATAAATGTAAGATATATAGTAATAGAGATGATTGTGCAATAATAAAATACAGCGTGCATAAAATATCATAATGTTAATAATTTGTTAACTTGTTAATGAAATAGATTATATCATACAATACTTTAAAAAACCCAACCCACAACCCAACCCACCCCTAACCCCTTAAATAGTTTGGATCGGTTATTTTAGATTAGAGAATTGGCATTGGGAGAAATGAGATGCATCTAATAATAATAAGATGCATCTAATAATAGTAATATAATATCACTTGAATTTATTGATTTCTGGCAAACTTGGATTTCAATACCACGATATATGAAAAATATAAAAAAGTCCAAAATGCACTGCACACAACATCAACCCAATATAATAATTGTATTATTTTAATCCCCCACTAAACTAACCCACTAACAATTATTATTATTGCAGTACGATCGAGTACACCGTTAACAGAGGTGCACCCACTCCCCTGATCTATTTGTTTGTAGTCGATACTTGTGTTGAAGAGGAAGACTTACAAGCTCTGAAGGTATGTTATGTCCACTTTTAGCATTGTTTTGATTCAGTTCTCAAACGATGTGAAGTTTTAACTCGTGAAGTTATTTCATCCAGTCAAATTCTAGTGATCTCAGTGGAAAATAATAATGTAGTACCTTGTGTTGGTGCATTAAGTGAAATACAGGATAATTTCAAGTTTGGTAATTTACACGACAGCGTGCAATTCATCGGAACTTATTGCTGTATATAGTAACGACTAACAATTTACATTTTCAGGAAACCCTGCAAATGTCCCTGTCTCTGATACCACAAAACGCACTAGTGGGCCTCATCTCCTTCGGTAAAATGGTCCTGGTCCACGAGCTTGGAGCGGAGGGTATCAGCAAGGCGTTCGTTTTCAAAGGAAGCAAAGAACTGAACGGCAAACAAATACAGGAGTTCCTGAACCTGACTCCTGGAGCGCACGCTGCAAATACCTCAAACAAGTAAGTGTTAAACTTTTAGTGTTAAACTATTGGTGTGCTGTAACCTTGCCAGCATTACGTTTTATCACAATATATATAATATTGTGTTTTGTTGGACCATTTTTTAAGATCAGAAGGTTTATGTTGAATAATTATAAGTCACGTTCTTGACGGATATTAAGGATTCTGTAATGGATTGTCATTTTGGTGAATTATTTGATGAATTAAGTGAAAGAAATGAATTGAAAGATTTCAAAAAACAAATTTTATATCACAGTAGCATTCTCACAAACTTGTTATAAAACTGACAGCTTTAATCTATTCGCCAAACATTTCTCGGTTTGAGACAAGATTTAAGATTGATTGAAAGGTTCAGTTTATCAATAGATTCAATATAAATCATGCTAGATTTCCAAAAAAATCACATTTTTCTGTTAAATAAAACTGAATGTGTCCTTATTGTATGTCCTTACTGTAATATGTAGAGCGTAGCCGCTGTAACTTCATTAATTCGCCAAAAAAACTGGAAAACGTATAGATTCTTCATGCCGAATATGCTCAAGATAAGAAAGCTGTAACAAATCATGTTAAATATTAATCACGCTACAGTCTACTCTACGATTAAGTTATAAACAATGTCAGTAATAATGTTCTCGTTAGTTTCCTGATGTTCTCTTTCAACCTCCTTGTTAGTTTCTAGACTTCTCAGCTGCTTTGTCGTCCAGTACCGGTCACGTGACATGCCAGCCAGTGGTCTGATCAAGAGGGGAACTGTTTAAGAGATACTTATATCTGGTTATAAGATAAATATCACGAGCTAAAGTTGTTACAAGAGTGGTAAAATACACGTGAACTGTATTTAAATAGCTAACTCTACTGATCATGTTATGTAGATTTAAATCAAAATATTTACATTTCCGTGGATATTTAAGGTGGTATAAATTGTAAAATACACTGTCGTTATCATGTAAGTTTTAACTAAATTTAACGTTACTTATCTACTAGCAGCTAATATAATGGATCGTTTTAGTTCAAAAATTAGACTCAAAAGATGTAAGTTGTATACCTTTGTTAGACTGTTCCGGTAGGAAGGCTTCATGTTTATGATAGTAGTTCTCCGCAGTGATAAATCTGATCATCATCCAGATCTTTAATCAGCTCAATTACCTTGTCAGTTATCGTCATACCAAGCAGTCTACCTGAATAAAAGGAGAACTGAGAACTCGTTAACAAATATTAAGAATAATATGTATTATGTAGATAGTAGATAGCATAAATTGGCTTAATGAGCGAGTTTGAGATGTTGCGAGAGTTAAATGGTATTCTATATATTATATCGTGTGTGTACGTTATATTAAAAGATACGATTTTGTTACCGGTAATTTTTGAAGCATAAATCAATTTATTTAAAAAGTAATGAATATAAATATGAATTGTCATATAAAATGTAATATAATGTTAACTATACAGTATAGTATACTGCTAATATCTTACTGCTAATAGAGTCCCAAGTTGTGGTGAGTTGTTGATATAGTCGGCGAGTAAATGTTTTATTATAATAAGCGGGCGAATAAAACATATCCCACTTCGTCAGGTTGCCTTTCTGAAGCGCACATTTAGACTCGGTGACGTTCTTTAACTCCAACTTGGTATCCTCCAACTCCAACTTTGTGTCCTCAAGCTGACTTTTTGTCTCATTCAGCTCTCCTCCCATTACCCCTAGGTCTCTCTTTACCCCAACTAGTTCTTCCTGTGTGGAGTTGAACAGTCCCTGAACTTCCAGTAGCTCTGTCTGCGTCGTATTTAGGGACAGTTGTAGAGTACTCTTTTCACTAACGGCTAACTCCAGCTTTCCTCTCGTCCTCTGCAGTTCATCAGAATCAGCACATAATGGGTCGATGAAGTCCTGCACAGTACCAGATCTACTCAGCTTCACAATATCTTCCCACTTTATAACCCTATACTCCTCCAACTGTTCAGGTATCTCTGTACAGAGACCACCTGAAGACATGGCAGCTACTTCTGTAGCTGTCAGCTCCTTCGAGTATATGTTGAAATTAAACAGTTCACCACCGAAATAGTGACCACTGTTGGACCCTAAAGTTAATGCACCACCTGTCTGCAGCTTCCTCCCAGAGGGTGTGGTCTGGGTACCTGCTAGTTGACCATTAACGTAGACTCTGAAGGTTCTAGAAGCGAGGCTCCACGTGGAGCAGTACATAAACCAAATACCTACTGGCGAGGTAAACTTGCTAGTCAGAACATTATCCAGGGAGCGGGAACCAAACAGTATGTTGTAGTAGCCGTTATCTGACATGAATATCTCGTAATCTTTATAACCAAATGGGGCAGGGGGATCCTGACTGGAGTTTGCGAACCCACACACAAATAGTAAATGTGTCTGTCAAGCGGGCCATGTCCGGGCTATATGATACATAACTACTGGAATCATAAGCAAACTTAAGAGCTGTATAACTCTTGCTATCACTGGCTGCGACAGTGGATCCCGACAGTACAACAATAACCGATAAAACGATCTGGATAAAACGAAACATTGTGATTTCGGGAAGGTTAAACGAAATAGTGCTCTCTAAGATGTATCTGAATAACTGTCTCTGTTGATCACTTTTATAAAGGGTCTGGGTCAGGAGGTATGCATTTTACAGGATAAATTTTGGGCGCTGATAGGTGCTGTTAATAGGTGATTATATCTAGAGAATATATTGATTGTGTAACAGCAATTGCAATAAACACGTACTGTTGATAAATAGTTGCGTGAGCGGCTTGATAAATACCCACATAAAAGTGTCTAAACTATTGGTGTGCTGTAACTTTTTCTCGGTTCGAGACAACATTTCAGATTGAAAGATTCAGTATAAATAGATTCAATATAGATCTTGCTAACTTTCGGAAATAAAGGACATTTTTCTGTTAAATAAATTAAACATTTCCTTATAGCTATGTATATCGTAGCCGATACTACTTCATTAATTCGCCAAAAAAATCTGGAAAAGTCGTAGATTCTTCATGCCGAATATGCTTTAAGGGGGCCGGGGGGGGGGGGGGGGGGGGGGGGGGGTCTTCATCAAAATTCTCTCGAAATTGATTTTACAGTTGTTTCTGATAGAGGGGAGTGATATCTATCAGCTGTTTTTAGTCCCATGGAAAAATATTGTTCCTAGCCGAAATTATTGCCGGTCAAAGGTCAGCGCTTATGTGTAATTGTATTGCGCGAGCGATTTTCAATCGCGCGCCCTGAAAATCGAGTCTAAAAATCTATCTTCTCCTACATTTTTTGAGTAATCACCCCGAAACCTTCAGGATATGTTCTAAGGACCATTTAGAAGAGATTGTCGGGCCAGAATTTTGAGATAGGCCTTAGAAATTTTTTTATTCGATTTTGGAAATCTTGGACCTGAAAAAATCGTCAAAAAACGAGGTCCAAGATTTTCAAAATCGAATAAAAATATATCTAAGGCCTATCTCAAAATTCTGGCCTTACAATCTCTTTTAAATGGTCCTTAGAACATATCCTGAAAGTTTCAGGGTGATTGCTCAAAAATGTAGGAGAAGATAGATTTTTAGACTCGATTTTCAGGGCGCGCGATTGAAAATCGCTCGCCCAATACAATTACACATAAGCGCTGACCTTTGACCGGCAATAATTTCGGCTAGGAACAATATTTTTCCACGGGACTAAAAACAGCTGATAGATATCACTCCCCTCTATCAGAAACAACTGTAAAGTCAATTTCGAGAGAATTTTGATGAAGACCCCCCCCCCCCCCCCCCCGGCCCCCTTAAAAGATAAGAAAGCTGTAACAAATCATTTTAAATATTAATCACGCTACAGTCTACTTTATGAGTAAGTTATAAACAATGTCAGTAGTAGTGTTCTCGTTAGTTTCCTGGTGTTCTCTTTCAACCTCCTCGTTAGTTTCTAGAGTTCTCAGCTGCTTTGTTGTCCAGTACCACGGTCACGTGACATGATCACGTGACATGCCAGCCAGCGGTCTGAACAAGAGGGGAATTGTTTAAGAGATACTTATATCTGGTTATAACAGAGTCATAAATACTGCGAGCTTAAGTTGTTACTAGAGTTGTAAAGTATACGCGAACTGAATTTAAGTAGCTAACGCTACTGATCATGTTATGTAGATTTAAATCAAAATATTTACATTTACGTGGATTTTTAAGATCATATAAATTGTAAAATACACTGTCGTTACCATGTAAGTTTCAACTAAATTAAACGTTACTTATCTACTTATTAATTTAGTAGCCAGTAACGTTTTTTCGGTAGTAGCGGGGGGATACAACGGTCATTAATGTCAGTATTATAGAATTTTGCTGAAATATACATATACATTAATGCACATAATGCCCATTTATGCCCATTAATGCCCCTTAATGCACATTAATGCCTATATTTAATAGAAAAATGGGCAAAAATGGGAAAAAAGTATGGGCATTAATGGCAGTATTTTAAAATTTTGCACATTAATGCCCATTAATGCACATTAATGCCCATTAATGCACATTAATGCCCATATTTAATAAAAAATGGGGAAAAACGTATGGGCATTAATGGCAGTATTATAGAATTTTGCTGAAATATACATATACATTAATGCCCATTTATGCCAATTTATGCCCATTAATGCACATTAATGACCATGACCGTTGTATCCCCCCGTAGTAGCTAATATTAAGGATCGTTTTAGTTCCAAAATTATACTCAAAAGACGTAAGTTAAGTACCTTTGTAAAACTGTTCCGATAGGAAGGCTTCATGTTTATGATAGTAGTTCTCCGCAGTGATCGATCTGATCGTCATCCAGATCTTTAATCAGCTCAATTACCTTGTCAGTTATCGTCATTCCAAACAGTCTACCTGAATAAAAGGGGAAGTGAGAATTCGTTAATAAATATTAATAATATGTAGATAGCATAAATTGGCTTAAGGCCAGAGGGGGGGGGGGGGGGGGGGGTGGGGGGGGTAAACGCTCAAAAATTTTTATAATAATATTATTCTTTAAATAAATTCATTTTTTGATGACAAAAGTTTTGCTGCCATTCACATATTTGTAACTGCTTAACTTTTTTTGATAAATGAGGTTAACCGATTCTTACAAAATTAGGGTTACAACGTTGAGGTTACTAAAATTGAGGTTAAGATGTTATTTTACTCCAAGATATTTTGTTATTTCGGTCAGCAAATGTTAACTCTGAATTCTATGTTCATAATTGTCAGTAAAAACGCTATCTAAACGTTTATAAATGAGGTTAACCTCTTAATTTAGGTATAGCGAAAATAGATTAGACGATAGAGTTGTTATTTTTATCGTAAGATTACGACATACAAATTTCTAAATAGATGTAGTGCTGATTCACTTAATTTTATCTCGAGAAAGTGTTGAAAATGAGGTTAACCATCACACTTGGTACTTTAAGAATTATTTACATACGATTCTTACTTTTGTTATGTACCACAATATCACAGTGAGGTATCTATTTGTATTACAATGCCTCAAATATTATCTCGTGACAAAGGTGATTTGGAATGACCATGTTTAAGTAGAAGAGTTCACCCGTAAATGGCTCAAAAATGAGGTTAACCTCTCATTTGTTGAATATCGGGCCAGTCAATCACATGTTAACCTCAAAAACTTTATCGTTACACTGGGCAAATGTTTTATTACATGTATAGCAATGTATTGATAAACCAATCCCAGTGTAATATGGTCTATAGCGAGGTTAACAATCATATTTTTACTACTATTACAAGATATCATGATAGTTAACCTCATTTTTAGACAAATTTTGGTTTATGATGTTGATTTTCCCAATATAAAGTATCTCAATGAAGATCTTTACACCTTAAAGCAAAAATTGTATGGAGACGCTACTAAATACGGAAAATAATGCACAATTTGAGATTTTGGCAGTGAAATGAAAACACCAAAACTCGTTTTACTCGAAACGGTTTTTTTCATACCAAAATCCTTAACTTGAGAAGACTGGCCACACCCAGAAGCTGAAACTTGGCACAGGTGTTCTTTTGGGTGTTAGGCAAAAACGTTATGTTTTAGAATTTTGATTTTTGCCTTTGTTCTTGAAATATGAGGTTAACTTTACCCCAAATTCGAAATAAAATCGAATTTGGGTTAAAGTTAACCTCATATTTCAAGAACAAAGGCAAAAATCAAAATTCTAAAACATAACGTTTTTGCCTAACACCCCAAAGAACACCTGTGCCAAGTTTCAGCTTCTGGGTGTGCACAGTCTTCTCAAGTTAAGGTTTTTAAACTTTTTACAGTTTAAGTTAAAGGTTTACATGTAATTACAGGTAAACCTCAATATTTGGCGCGCGATATCTCAAAAACGCAAGGTCAGATTTCAGTCCGGTTTTTTTCTTCTTGTTCGTCTCCAGCAGCCCTGATTAAATATGTGAAAACTGGAAAAACGAATTTTACCCCCCCCCCCCCTCTGGCCTTAATGAGCGAGTTTGAGATGTTGCAAATGTTAAATGGCATTCTATAATATATCGTATGCGTGTACGTTTTATTAAAAGATACGATTTTGTTACCGGTGATTTTTGAAGCACAATCAATTTATTTAAAAAGTAATCAATATAAATATAAATTGTCATATAAAATATAATATAATATTAACTATACAGTATAGTATACTGCTAATATCTTACTGCTAATAGAGTCCCAAGTTGTGGTGAGTTGTTGATAAAGTCGGCGTGTAAATGTTTTATTATAATAAGCGGGCGAATAAAACATATCCCACTTCGTTAGGTTGCCTTTCTGAAGCGCACATTTAGACTCGGTGACTTTCTTTAACTCCAACTTGGTATCCTCCAATTCCAACTTTGTGTCCTCAAGCTGACTTTTTGTCTCATTCAGCTCTCCTCCCAGCTCCCTCTTGACTCCCTCAAGTTCCACTTTGGTATCATTCAGCTCTCCTCCCATTACCTCTAGGTCTCTCTTTACCCCAACTAGTTCTTCCTGGGTTGAGTTGAACAGTCCCTGAACTTCCTGTAGTTCTATCTGCGTCCTGTTCATTGAAAGTTGTAGAGTACTCTTTTCACTAACGGCCACCTCCAGCTTTCCTCTCGTCCTCTGCAGTTCAGCTCCAATAGCAGTACATACTATGTCTAAATCCTGCACAGTACCAGATCTACTCAGCTTCACAATATCTTCCCACTTTATAACTCTATACTCCTCCAACTGTTCAGGTATCTCTGTACAGAGACCACCTGAAGACATAGCAGCTACTTCTGTAGCTGTCATTTCTTTTGAGTACATGTTGAAATTAAACAGTTCACCACCGAAATAGTGACCACTGTTGGACCCTAAAGTAAATGCACCACCTGTCTGCAGCTTCCTCCCAGAGGGTGTGGTCTGGGTACCTGCTAGTTCACCATTAACGTAGACTCTGAAGGTTCTAGAAGCGAGGCTCCACGTGGAGCAGTACATAAACCAAGTACCTACTGGCGAGGTAAACTTGCTAGTCAGAACATTATCCAGGGAGCGGGAACCAAACAGTATGTTGTAGTAGCCGTTATCTGTCATGAATATCTCGTAATTTTTATAACCAAATGGGGCAGGGGGACCACCTGACTGGAGTTTGCGAACCCACACACAAATAGTAAATTTGTCTGTGAAGGGGGTCATGTCTGGGCTATATGTTACCAAACTATTTCCATCATAAGCAAACTTAAGAGCTGTATAACTCTTGCTATCACTGGCTGCGACAGTGGATCCCGACAGTACAGCAATAACTGATAAAACGATCTGGATAAAACGTATCATTGTGATTTCGGGAAGGTTGAACGAAATAGTGCTCTCTAAGATGTATCTGAATAACTGTCTCTGTAGATCACTTTTATAAAGGGTCTGGGTCAGGAGGTATGCATTTTACGGGATTAATTTTGGGACTTTTGGGCGCTTGGATGATGGTGCAGTTGATGGGTGATGACATTTAGGGAATCGGATAAGGTTTCTCGCTTCAACAATATTCTAAAAAAAGATGCTAGATATTTTGGATGACTGAAGCGTCTTATTGTTATTTTATAAGCAAAATAAATTGTATTACTATTATCACAGATATTAATTCATGTAATCAGATAGTACGTCCAATGAGTAGTTGTTAATTGTTACTAATTGGAGATAATATGATAGGTCATGATAAGTGATCTAAACACCTTACAGCATACTAAACACCTTCTCCCCAGGTTCCTGCAGCCCCTTGCCAAGTGTGACATGAGTATCAGTGACCTGATCGAGGAGCTACAACCTGACCCCTGGCCAGTGGCCACTGGTAAGAGACCTCTCAGATCTGTGGGTGTGGCTCTGTCCATTGCTGTGGGCATACTAGAGTCTGTGTACCCTAACTGTGGGGCTAGAGTCATGTTGTTCCTAGGAGGACCCGGCACTCAGGTATCAGAACTGACATTTTATTTTTATTTTGAATGTTTTGCTGTTCAATTTTCATCGCATCGAGTTTTGGCTGATGAAATTTTTAGTTTGAATCCTCTTTGTTTATAATTGAGGATCTTTGACCTAGTCGAATTGATACTGCCTGCCCATGGTCGTATTATGTATCATCAATTTAAACAACAATATTAATCACAGGGCCCTGGAATGATTGTTGGGGAAGACCTGAAAGAAGCTATCCGTTCCCATCACGACATCGACAAGAACGATGCACCCTACCTGAAGAAAGCATCCCGATTCTACGAGGGACTAGCCCAGCGCGCTGCTAAGAACGGTCACACTATCGATATTTTCTCCGCAGCCCTTCATCAGACTGGACTTCATGAGATGCGGCATCTTACCATGCAGACTGGGTGAGTTATACTGTCTTATTACTTATTCAGATATATACACGCGTTAATATATTGTGTTCTTTTCTTTAACGCTTAATAAGTGTTTTTCCCATATGATATACATACATACTTATTGTTATCACAGATAGCTTTTACAGTAATACCAATATAGTCACTAGTCAGGAAATTCGTCTGAGAGCTCCGTTTCTTACTCTTAAAATATGTTAAGCTTGATAAAGCAGGAAACTGAAATATATCCACCCCCTACCAGTGGACACATGGTGCTAGCAGATGCATTTGCAACGACACTCTTCAAGCAATCCTACCAAATGTTGTTTGCTAAAAACGACAAAGGCGAGCACAAAATGGGTTTCAACATAAATGTTGAGGTTAAGACGACCCGAGAACTGAAGGTTGCCGGAGCTCTAGGTCCTTGTTTCTCTCTGCAACGCAAGACTCCTAATGTTTCTGATACGGTTAGTTCCTGATGGAATCTTTTATTTTAAAGGTTACGGTGATATTTCACTTATTCTTCATCACTTCATCTAATAAAGGGGGGGGGGGGGGGGGGGGGGTGTCACGTCCGTCTATGTCCGCTTGTCTCATAGAATCCAAAAAGGACAGGACATAGGCGGACATAGACGGACATAGGCGGACATAGGCGGACATAGGCGGACATAGGCGGACATAGACGGACATAGGCGGACATAGGCGGACATTAATGGACACCTAAATTGCTAAATAAAATGTTCAATTTTTGCTGTCATGTTATAGGGGGATCATGTTTTTTGTCCGTTCGGTACCCTATATTTTCAAAACGGACAAAAAATAGAGCGGACAAAAACAGACAAAAATGGACAAAAACGGACAAAAATGGAAATAACATTTAGATGCTTCCTCCTCCTACTCTTCCTCCTCCTCCCCCTGGGTCTTCCTGATCTTCCTCAGTCCTCTTCCTCCTCCCCTCCTAAGTCCTTCTCCTACTCCTCCTCCTCGTCCTCAGTCCTCCTCATCAGTCCTCAACAGTCCTCCTCCTCCCCAGTCCTCCTCCTCCTCCTGGGTCCTCCTCCTGGGTCCTCCTCCTCCTCTTCATCCTCCTCCTCTTCCTCCTCAGTCCTCAGTCCTCCTCCTCATCCTTCTCCTCAGTCCTCCATCCTCCTCCTCAGTCCTCCCCCAGTCCCCCTCCTCCTCCTCCTATTCAGTCCTCATCCTCCTCCTTCTCAGTCCTCCTCAGTCCTCCTCCTCCTCCTCCTCCTCTTCCCTCTCAGTCATCCTCCTCAGCCATCCTCCTCAGTCCTCCTCAGTCCTCCTCCTCAGTCCTCCTCCTCCTGGGTCCTCCTCCTCCTCTTCCTCCTCGGTCCTCAGTCCTCCTCCTCCTGGGTCCTCCTCATCCTTCTTATCAGTCCTCCTCCTCCCCAGTCCTCTCCCAGTCCTCCTCCTCTTCCTATTCAGTCCTCCTCCTCCTCCTCCTCCTCAGTTCTCCTCAGTCCTCCTTCTCATTTCTCCTAAGTCCTCCTCCTGAGTCCTTCTCCTGAGTCCTCCTCCTGAGTCCTCCTCCTCTTCCTTCTGAGTCCTCCTCCTGAGTCCTCCTCCTCCTCCCTCTCAGTCATCCTCCTCAGTCATCCTCCTCAGCCATCCTCCCCAGCCATCCTCCTCAGCTATCCTCCTCAATACTCCTCAGTCCTCCTCCTTCTCAGTCATCGTCAGTCCTCCTCAGTCCTCCTCCTCCTCCTGGGTCCTCCTCCTCCTCCTGGGTCTTCCTGATCCTCCCCAGTCCTCTTCCTCCTCCCCTCCTCAGTCCTCCTCCTACTCTTCCTCCTCGTCCTCAGTCCTCCTCATCAGTCCTCAACAGTTCTCCTCCTCCCCAGTCCTCCTCCTCCTCCTGGGTCCTCCTCCTCTTGGGCCCTCCTCCTCCTGGGTCCTCCTTCTCCTCCTCAGTCCTTCTCCTCCTCCTCCTCAGTCCTCTTCCTCCTCTTCCTCCTCCTCCTCCCTCTCAGTCATCCTCCTCAGCCATCCTCCTCAGCCATCCTCCTCAGTCCTCCTTCTTCTCAGTCCTCCTCAGTCCTCCTCCTGAGTCCTCCTCTTCCTCAGTCATCCTCCTCAGTTCTCCTCCTCCTCCTAGGTCCTCCTTCTGGGTCCTCCTCCTCCTCCTCCTCCTGGGTCTTCCTGATCCTTCTCCTCCCTCTCAGTCATCCTCCTCAGTCATCCTCCTCAGTCATCCTCCTCAGCCATCCTCCTCCGCCATCCTCCTCAGCCATCCTTCTCAGCCATCCTCCTCAGTACTGTTCAGTACTCTTCAGTACTCTTCAGTCCTCAAAATGTTTGTCCGCTAATGTCCACCAATGTCCGCTAATGTCCACCAATGTCCATCCAAGTCCGCCAATGTCCGTCCGGGTCCGCCAATGTCCGTCCGAGTCCGCCAATGTCCGTCCGTGTCCGCCAATGTCCCAAAAAACACGTCCGTTGTCTCATAGAATCCAAAAAGGACAGGACATAGGCGGACATAGACGGACATGACACCCCCCCCCAATAAATTACTATTGCTACACAAAAACGAACCACTGCCAACATCTAAACCACCATCATCTCAGGAGATAGGTATTGGGGGAACAAACGCTTGGCAGTTGTGTTCAGGAGACCCGACCACGACTCTGGCTATATTCTTTGAGGTGTCCTCCCAACAGGGACAGCCACCAGCAGGGGGCCGGGGAGCGGTACAGTTCATATCTCAGTACCAGCACATTAACGGCACCAAGAGGATCAGGGTCACCACACTTGCTAGACAGTAAGTACTACAAGCTTATAACCGGTTTTATCTGTTTTCTTTGTGGTTATGTTCTGTGTATTATTATTATGTGTATTATATTATGCAATATATGTTCATATTTAAAGAAATGTATTTTCTGTAATTGGATCTTAAACTAGACTGTCCTCAGCTGGGCTGATCCGATAGCCAACATCCAGCATGTAGCTGCAGGATTTGATCAGGAGCTGAGTGCGGCGCTGATGGCACGTATCGCTGTTAACCGTAACGAAACAGATAACGACGGGCCGGATGTATTGCGCTGGCTGGACAGAATGCTGATAAGACTCTGCCAAAAGTTCGGGGATTTCCAAAAAGAGGACTCTAATTCCTTCAAGTTTCCTGATAACTTCACTCTTTATCCACAGGTTGGTCCGATATTTACTTAACATTTCTTTATCGTTTGTTTGAATTTTTTACCTTCTATAAATAATCAGTACTTGGAATTTCCTAACGTTCTTTTAGGATTTCTATTCAACGCTGAGGCTCGAAAACATAAAGTTTATGTTTTATCTGACAAATATTTCCTCGGTACCGGAAATAGTTATAATATTTCAATATTTGAGTCTGCCAAAAATACTTTCAAACTATTCACGGAAATTTAAAGGTTAACACAATCAACAATGAGGAAGGTGCCTTATTATATATTATGCCTCCCACATTCCTTGATAATATAACAAACAGTTAAAATATGTCTTACTTCAGTTCATGTTCCACTTAAGGAGATCTATGTTCTTGCAAGTGTTCAACAACAGTCCGGACGAAACCGCTTACTACAGGTAAATAAATGTACAGTTAAATGCCCCGATTTACCGCGGAGTTTGGGAGAAAGGAAAAAGCCGCGGTAAATCGAGGTTTGCGGTAAATCTGAGTTTTGATTGTTTACATTATGTATGAATGCTTTTTATACAAGTTACAACAAAGTCTTCATGTTATGTATCCTTGGTTTGGACAGGGTATTGCCCGCTTAAAATATTTCCATCCCGTTACATAATACTATGTTAAAACTTAAAGCTCTATTTGGAAATGGCCGCGGTAAATCGGGGTTTGTGGTAAATTGGGGCGCGGTAAATCGGGGATTTACTGTACTTTTAATTTTTTTTAACTGGTTCACATAAACAAGTGGTGCGGCTTAGAGAATAACTTTGTATTAATTCCATCGATACAAATACATTAAACAAAGAATAGAGTGTAATTTTATATTATGTACGTTAAAAGCTTTGTCTCATCTTCATCTCGTTCATTTCAATCCAGTATTAGTGTTTCACCAGCAGTCTGAATGTTGGCCATAGAAAGAGACCGAGAGAGAGGTCAATAATAACTCTCTCTGATAATAAGCACTTAACCTGAATCATTAGCAAACTATGCATATTACTACTACTAAACTATGTATAGTCGCACTGTAGACTATTTTTCATACAATCTCTCTTTCCGCCTACTGCTATATTTAGTGTCTCAATACTGTCGTGTAAAATGTGTGTGTGTGTGTGTGTGTATATCAATTAACTGTACATGCGAGTGATCCCAGATAATTGTTGTGTGAACGGTAATTAGGTTAATTGTAGCCTAGGAATTCACCTAGCTTATTGTTTGAGGATTGGGATCAAAGTGTGTGCCTTTGATTGAAATGTATTATCATAACTACAAGTTTAAAAGAACTTGTTGTTATGATAGTTGGTGGTGCTGAAACAAACTTTGTCATTCGCATGAATGGCTAGCATTTAAAATTGTTGGATGGAATTAAAAATTAATTGGAAATTAACTACTGGTCAAATGAATATAAGCCTATCAAATCAATTATAACTTTATAAAGTTGAAGCGAAGCCGGGATATAATCTTGTTGGCATTAATGGCAATTATCTCATCCTAAATCAGGAAATCAATCTATTCGACAGTCAATAGTAGAGTATAATCATGATATGCATACAATTGAGACTATGTGAAAGCTCAAGAAGGGCCAAACTCTTGAATGATCCATTTCAAAAGAGTGTAGTGTTAATGTTCAGCTAATTTTATATCATGGTGATTACCTAATATTACGATAAATCTGGCATGTTTATTGATTGGAGGAGGAAAATATTTAAACGAAGAAGCGGAAGAACTGATCGTTTGCTTTTATTAAATCGTAAAACGGTCAAAGGGACCACTATTCACTATATTCATTCACTATTTAGTACATTGCATTTCACTGCAGTTTACTGACAGCGATTACCTCATTGTAATGGGTGGGGCCAGGCTTAAAATCTATCATTAAAGTATCATATCGTACAAACACTATCCGCTGTCTACTGTCTAGTCAAATATGGACACGTTATTGTAAGTAACGATGTAGATAAAAGAGGAAATAAGGGTGTGGACGTGGCATTATTTAGGTTGCACAAGATAGGGAATGCGCGCGTAAATTGTTAGTGAGGCGCGCAAATTATACGTAACGCGCGGTTAGCTCTTAATCATGCAAGATTAGTAGTGGCCTGCATTCTGTTACTATTTATAGACCCAAAAGGGCCACGTCACTGAATAGGAACCTCTACTTCCTATTAACAGCTACCTTACTCGGGATTATTACGACGGGTTTATTAACGACCGGTTAAAATATGGTTCGGGAAAAATATGGCGAAATTGCTCAAAACCCACCACATTTTCCCGGTCGCCATTTTACCGGTGTCCAACCTTTCAATTTTAGATTCAAAAATTTTGTCTGAGATGTAAATTTCCTTATTAGAGATAAGCAGGTTCAGAAATTTTCGCATTGCTAAAACTTGTGAAACAAGTCGAATTATCAATAATTGTTGAAAGTAGACTCTAGCAAATTCGTTGTTTTGAATTAGCATTACATGTTTACGTGTATCAAATAACCATTATGACTCAATTTGTAGAAAATCTTCGAAAGAATGCATCGTTCACATTGTTTAGAATTATGAATAAATGACTGATGAAACTGATTCATGTTATTGACCGTTTTAATTAATTCGAGTTTTAATTTAACTGTTACTTTTACTTTGAGTCCTATTTCATTATGTAGAGATAGTCACTACCTAAGAAATTAAAAATTGGCCTATTTAAATCAACTTTGACAATAAGGATATATGACAAGAATTGGGCAAAAAGGTGAATTTTTTGCAATTTTAGCCAAATGAAGTCGAAAAACCTACAACAAGTGTCCCAATAGTCTTCTTTAGTGAATATAAGACACCCATTAAAATATGAGCACCCATACCCCTTGGGAACCCTAAAAGCTGAGTCGGCGGGTTTATTAACGACCGGTGAAAATGTGGTTCGGGAAAAATATGGCGAAATTACCCTAAACCCGCCACTTTATCCCGGTCATAATAATCCCGAGTAAGGTATATTAATAGCTAATTAATAGCTAAACAGCTGATTAATAGCTAAACGCGGATAGAAAGTGGCCGAAAACTTGATCCTGTACTATTTTCAGACACAAACTAATGAAAGAGGACGTCAGCAATTCGATGATTATGATACAGCCTTATCTGTACTCCTACTCCTTTAGTGGACCCCCTGAGGTATGGACAGTTCATACAGTTGCATCATTTTGTGACGATTTTAAAATAATCCCGAAAATGAGTCATGCGAACTTCAATTTCATGGTCAATCTAAAAATCTGTAATATTTCAGCCGGTGTTACTGGATTCCGTGAGCATAGTTCCTGACAGAATCCTATTGATGGACACATTCTTCCACATAGTCATATACCACGGAGATACGATAGCCAAATGGATCGAAAAGAAATATCACGAGGATCCAAGTCACGAAAACTTTAGACAACTACTTCAGGTGCCTTATTATATTAATTAATAATATATTAGTTTGACCACCATTTTCTCTACTCAATTCAATAGAAGTCATGTTATAATATAAGTTATGTAAATTACCCAAATTATTGAGTTTTTGTAATGAGTGGTGGTTTATAACTTAAACTATCCTACAGGCACCTATTGATGATGCACAAGAAATCCTAGCAACCAGGTTCCCGATGCCGCGTTATGTGAACTGTGTCCATGGTGACAGTCAATCGAGATTCTTATTCGCTAAGGTATGTTCTCAAATTTCCTGCTTTATATGTATTCAAAGCTTGATAACCCGTTCTCTTATATCAATAAAAACACTGCTATACAATACGGCCATTCTTGAAATTGAACCTAAGGTAATCACTTAGCGTCGAATAATATATAATGTCTTCGCTGACTGAGTTTGATTTGATCAGGATTCGTAGATAACCGTTTGTTCTAAACTAACTTCAAATCATTACCAGGTGAACCCGAGCCAGACTCATAACACGATGTATGGTTATTCTCAAGAGGGAGCCGGGGCTAGTGTTCTTACAGAGGACGTCAGTCTGCAAGTCTTCATGGAGCATCTTAAAAAACTGGCAGTAGCAAACACTTCTTAGTCAAACTCAGAATATCGAATGGGAAATGGGGTCGTCGGGAGGTCACCCGACCGAGAGTTAATTAAATTATGTGTCTTTAAAATATCCACCAACGTCGTCTGATTTTGTTAACCAACCATTTAATATTGTCAAAATATACTTTATTCCACTTCAGTTTATTTTCGATTTGCCATTTTGGGCGGCTAAAGTATTTAATAAAGCCTTGTTAGCAGTTTTTGTGTTTAGATATGATATAATTTTGCTCCCTGTTTTAATGGAAATGATGTTTTATATTGAATTAGTTAGTTTTTCATGAGTTTCTGACGTTGAAAATAGATTTATTCGGAATTGATAGTTGCATTGTTGATCAATAAAACAAGTAGTTTCTTTTTTAATAATTCTGACTCATATCTTGAAATGATTTGGATACAAAACTTATATAACTTTTAAATGTGCTCAACTGGAAAATAGGATAAATCTTTAACAACCCCAGAATGTAAAAAAAGTGCTTACAAAAAAGTGTAAAGAAATAAAATCTGGTTTTTAAAAGACAAAAAATTAGTAGAAAAATAAACAACCACTGAATACGGTTACAATGATGATGTACAAAAACAGATAAATTGGCTTCAAATATGTAAATTAGAGTCTCCAGAACCTAGTATTATTAGCAGAAATTATAAATAAGTTAAGTACAACGTTTGTTCAGTTGTTTTCATCTATAATCAATAATATCGACTGTTTGATTATTATAGTGTATAGTGTGCTTTTGTGTTCCGAAAAGCATCAAAACACAAAAGCAAATCAACTATCAAACAATAAACAGCTCGTATTTTTGGAATGGTACTGGCCGCGTTATAACCATCTAGCTCTGATACATGTACTATTTATTTTTACGCTAGTCTCAGTCTAGTTTAATTCAAGACGTATATGCTGCACAGGCACTCAATATCCGTGTAGAAATTGTCCTTTGAACTTTAAAGATTCAGTTAAATCTTTTCAACTCAACAGCTAGAGCAGCCCCAGAAATGAAATCAAGTCCAGCCTGAAATTAAATGTCCTTCAGTCAAGAAGCTTTGATTCTGAGAATGCTTTCTCCTGGAATTTAATTTAAATTCTTCTCATACAGTTCAAACTCACTCAGTGAGTGAGTTTGAACTGTATGAGAAGAATTTAAATTAAATTCCAGGAGAAAGCATTGAAAATAGGTACAGTCGTAAGTATTGGTTGAATAAACAGAAATAGTTTGAACTGAGAGATTTGAGACGGTTTTACTTTTAAGTTTTAACTCACGTCTTCTGTAATTTTATCCACCCTCAGAAGGCTCATAATCCGTAGCGGTAGAAACAAAGCTAGTCCAGCAACCAACGACCACGCTGCAGAATTAATTGCAATTAGTTCATAGTTCAATGACTAACTTACTTTAATTGTAGAACTACGCACAACCTTGTATTGTTGTTCATTTCACAGCTTCAATCGAGCAGCGGGTACGAGCAATTTTAAACTTATTTCGAATACAATTACAATCATGTAGTGACAGTATTAGTGTGTACCACTTAATACTATAAGGATTTAAAATTAATTCGAACATAAGTAGTACTAGCACTGAACATAATATTAATTAACGTATTAATTAAATGTAACGTATTAGCGTATTAATTGACGTATTAACGTATCGAACCTGCCACGGCGAGGAGGAACAAGAGATTAGCTACAAAAAGTCTCCAGCCCAGACCGTCACACACATAAAATGCTCCACACGGTGTTAAAGCGCCACTGTCAAGTACTGAAACAGATCAGGCTATTGTTGTGAAAGTAATTTAGATATTTAAATATATTACATTTAGCGATTTAAAATGGAGTGTGGTTGGGGTACGAATCTCCATCAAAGTGTTTGATCAACTCAATTTGATCTTATCTAATAAACAATCTAAAATAATGCACTATTATGTTGTAGTTGCAATAACCTGCTATCTTGTAGAAAGGGCGTGTAGTGAAAAATGCAGCTGAAATGATCCCAACCATTCCACCCCCAAGATGTATTGGAGCCACGTCGGTCACATCGTCTATCCCAACTGAAAGTGAAAATCCTACTATAAAGCTCCAAACAACTCCAAGATGATTATATTTAAAAGTCTTAAATTAGCTGTAAATTCCCCAAATTCTCTCAACACGTGATACTTATTAAAGTGACAAAAAAGAAAAGAAACAACTAACATGAACACAGCATCCAAGAGAGAAGGAAATACATGGCTCCACACAGTATACCAGTTACCAGGGCACCTTCTGTTGTCATGGTAGCGCATCCAGCACTGCTTCCCGCCAAACCTGCAGGTTGTGGGATATTTTAATTTATGTTTGATTTAAAAAAATAATTGCTGTCAAGAATCAATTTATAACTTTCTGGGTATCTCCGAACAACGTAGCTATGTCTCTTTGAGTCTTTACAATTCATTAGTTATTACCCACATGTAATGCACTACCACTGACCTGTGCAAATACCGTTGACAACGCTGTAAGGTTCCATGTGTTTTTCGTTATACAGAGTCAGTACTGTTACTGCAATAGCACTGGTTGTGGCACAGATTGTTGTGTTGATCGCGATCTTACCCAACGCGTTAACCCCGTCTCCTGGAAAGCAGAATATTTTCAGACAAATTGAACGGTTTTCTGGCGTTTGCTTTGAATGTTTAAGAAGGTAACAATATCTGCTACAAAAGCACCTAGGTGCATGACGGAATTGAGGGACAGAGATGTCATGTATCAATGCATATCGCACAAAGCTGCATACCAAGGTGTTCCAAATTCAAGAGCAACAGTTCTTGTCGGCTAATTTTAATATGGACAGGGTAAAACATTTCCTTGTGTTTACAAACCGTCAAAATTTTGGATGGTTCCCATGTTGAGAGCGTAGAATCCAGCCCACATAAAGAAAGCACCCAGCGCTGCGTAGGTAACATTTTGACGAGGCATCCTTACATTGGACCCTGATCAGGGTATGAGTTAACATTTCATTGTGTGCCTTGTATTATTGAAAGTGAGAGTTCGCGTCTGCAATATACATATTACAAAAATTCAACGTTTTTAGTAAAGTATTAGTTACTATTTTAGTATGCCAATAACATCGTTCATTTTTGTAGATTTTTTTATCGTCAAAAAATAAACTAACTCACAGAGAGAATATAAATTTGAGAAGATCATATTATTTCCATTCCATTAAAAATTTATACAAATGAACATATGCATGTTTTAAAACTAACTTTCGCCGACGAAGCGACCCTTCCTGGGCCCAACAACGTACGCTCCTACCAGCGCCATTATCCCTCCGCTCACATGCACAACACACGATCCTGTCATGAGGTAAAATAATTATTAATAATAATATAAAATGGACATTGTTAGTAATAATTGATCTGTTAGTAAAATGAAAGAGTGAAAGGGTCATTGTTTATAAGCAAATTGATGAATCTTCTCTCCCCATGCTGTTAAAATAACTCTTGTAACAAATCCTCGCTTGACCTTTTTCAAACGTTCGCTCTCTAACGTTTCACAAAATAAACCAAAAATTAAGTATATGAATATCCCTTACCAGCAAAATCGAGCACTCCGGTATTCATAAGATATCTGGAATGGTAACTAGCCCAACCCTTGTTGCTCCAGGCCCAGTGCATCACAACTGGTGTCACGAACAGGGATATGAAGAATGTGACTACAAAGTATGCAACCACGTGAGTTCTCTCGCTCAGAGACCCTAAAATAAAACTTTACATTTGGGATCGTTAAGATTTCTCGTAAACCAGATTATAGCAATTTCAGACTCCCTCCCCGAACGTCACCTACTTTACCCCATTAGCTATTGTGTAGCAATTACAGTGTGGAGTAAGCTTTTCTAAATTCACTGAAAATGCCAGAATCTGGTTTACGAAAAAATGTGAATCTTTTTATTTCAAAATAATATCAGAAATAATTTTGTTATCTTTTAAAGACATAACCGCTTTATATTGCAACTGAAAATTATCTAAATTATAATCATTACATAAGATAACTTCCATTTTGATATATAACGTAAAACGAACTTCTGAGACAACAACAAAACAAACCAGCAACAATAGTCGGCACCAAGTTAAGCACACAGAAGTAGTAAATGAAATGAGCGTAGGTAGCACCGTTGTAGCTGATATCCCCCACTTTGGTGGCGTTGGCAAACATATCTCCTTTAGTGGCGAACCCTCCCCAACCCACAAAGTCATCACCATCCTCACCAAAGCTGAACCCATATCTGAGGAGGAGAATACGTTAATGTTAGCAGTTTTCTATTTTTCTGCAAAAAGGTAGACAAATGTTTGTAACTCTTCAATGACTTGAATTCTAGATTCTAGAAGCTACTAATATTTATTGAGCTGTTTTGCTGGAAATATCCAGGAAAAAAACTAAATTGTAATGGATAAATTGTTGAAATATTGAATACCCGAAATAATCAATACCCGAGCAAGTAAAAACATATTGCAGATATGCTAGAGTTCCCGATGTTCTTGATAATCATTGCTTTGGTATTCTTCGGGCTAATCGAGCCGATCTCGAGTAGTAACATTCCTATCTGCACTAGAAATATCTGCAAACATGTGTAGTTTTTTAATAAGTTTATGAAGTAAATTTGGGGTTCTGGAGAGCAGTGAATTAAATGAATAAATGTTTATGCTATGTGTTGGACAAGTTATACAAAATGTTCGCTGTGATAATCGGTCACACTTATCAACTCTTATACTTTTAGTAACCTATCAGTAAGTTGCTTAGTAACCTTGACAGCCCCGTCACCGGGTATGACCTAGTTACCTGGATGGCCCTGACAACAAGCCAGGCAGTAGAGAAGGATGAGGTTAGAGGAGAGGACTGGTGGACCCATCCTGCCACTTCCTCCCACGTCGTGTTTACCTCCTTGCCGTCCAACACAAGGGTCAGGATCACAGGAGCTGACATGGAGCTACACTTCCCGGGACGACATGGACCTAGTGGTTAGTGGTGGTTACTAGTGGTTACTAGTTGTTAGTGGTGGTTACTAGTGGTGGTTACTGGTTACTAGTTGTTAGTGGTGGTAACTAATGGTTAGTGGTGGTTAGTGAATACTAGTGGTTAGTGGTGGTTAATAGTTGTTAGTGGTGGTTACTAGTGGTCACTAGTGGTTAGTGGTGGTTACTAGTGGTTAGTGGTGGTTACTAGTGGTTAGTGGTATGGTGGTTACTAGTGGTATGGTGGTTACTAGTCGTATAGTGGTTACTATTGGTGACTGGTTAGTGTGGTTCTTTATCGAGTGTGGTGATTAGTGGGGTTTTACAGTCTTTATAAGTTACGTGAACTTTGCATCATGCAACAAATATCAGTGAATTCATAATTTCTTGAGAAGCTTGCACCTTGGCTCTAGATCCAGCAGGTATATAACGGTAACTATAACTATAAGGGAGGGTAACCAATCACAGTTTGTTATCACAAGTAACACCCAATCACATAACAGGAAAAAGATCACATGTTGGTCCAGGGAGAGGGGCTATTTTAGTAATGAAGTGAAATCACCCGTTAACAAGGCTGCGAACATGTAATGCAGTCTTAATTTGCTAATTATCAATCAACTTTCCTCACGCTAGATTATAGTGTCCATTAATTTATCGAATAGATTGATTAGTTGATTATTTGTTGACTGTTGAGTTTGTTTTTCTGAGGAAAATATGGGTTGTGGAACGGCGTTCATGCGACTGATCTTGTTCGTAACAAACATTGTCATAACGGTACAGATGTCTTTTTAATTATAATAAAACTCACCACTATTACTGATTATGATCATACATGATTTGAATGGCTGTTAGACAATGAACATAAGTTCATACCGTACATTTGCACTGTGTTAAACACTTTGTTTCGATTCTCTGCATATCCTTAAAATGTTTAGACAGTTTTTTGGGAGTTCCAAATAGTTTCTGATTATTCTGATTTGCGACAAATGATATTGCACTGTTAAAATGTTTCATTACCCCAATGTTAATCAAACAAATCCTCAGATTTTCTCGATTGCTCTAATAGTAGTTGGAGCAGTTTGTATCTACAAATTACACGAGCTCGAGACGATATTCGACGACAAGTAAGATGATAACTTCACTTGATATCTTAAACAAGCCATATATGAAATAAACAGTTTTGTTATAATGATACATAAGCACGTTCTACACACGTGATCGTGAGAGCGAACATACGACAGCTACCCGGTAAACATGTAACTGACAGCCTTTTAGAGGCCACTAAATAGTGTGGTTATGTTTTTTCTAATATACTGCTTTAACTCTGGGGTAGTTCATCTTGTAATACTTGAACAAACCTCAAAATAAGCACCAATTCTACCTACGTCCAAATTGGTGTTTACATTTTTGTTGTCTAGAACACAGCTCACTCAGCATGGAAATAATATAAATATGATCTAAAAATTCAATGATTTCAGTGCGAGATATCTCGGCTTCGGCTCGTTGGCTGTTGGAATGTTGCTGCTAGTCCTAGGGATAACTGGCGTGTGTGGGGCCTGTGTACAAGGAACTAAATCGTGTCTTATCATGGTAAGATATTATCGGTACTCAAGACAAATGAAATTTTGATTTTGTCACTGTCATTATATATTTGTAACATGTTTCCTTGACGTACCTAAACTTAGCTCCAATCTAAATCCAGGGACTCCCAGTTGAAACCTGAAACTCCAAAACATTAACAATTTACAATTCAGCACCTGATTCTCCTGGCGTTACTAATAATCGGAGAAGCTATTGGTATCGGAATGTTGCTCTACTACTCTGCTGATGATGACCTAGAGAAGGAGATAAGTACTACTGTCCAGGATGCTTTTAAGACTTACGGAGGAAATGAGACTAGCAGTGCGGCTATCACGGATGGTATCGACATGTTTCAAGTCAGTATACAGTCTATACAGTATACACGTTATAATGATTATACTTACTTTCAATGCAAAACTATCAGAGTTAAGGGATGCTGCTGCTGTCAATCTACAGCTAGAGAGCTAAAGTTGTACCGTTCGATCAAATTGATAACTATTATAAAAACCTTCAACGTATTAACAGTAAATTTTGAATACTGTCACACCAAGAAAGCAACTTACAAACAGTAAGGTGAGTCACGAACAGTAACTAGAGTTTCAAAATCTAACCGCCCCAGGAGATACTCCACTGCTGCGGGCAACACACCTACAAGGACTGGGGTAACAGTTCCGTTGCTTTTACCTGGGTCGTCTCTCTCAACTACGCCTCTGTGAGTACTAACATTTGTCGTCATTAACTTCAAGACAACCAACAATTCTCATTATATAAGGAGGGCTAACATTTCTCTTTCTATCACATCAACACCTTATATTGTTCTGTGAACCATATTTTCTTGTATCACGTATCTCAGCTCGATTAAGTCACCTAACCCACCTCCTAAAACTTGCCATCTAACAACTCCTGATGACAAATGTTTCAGTACCTCCCGGACTCTTGCTGTAAAACTTTGGAAACAGGCTGCGGGAAGAAACTGGCCCTCATTAACACTGATGAGGCAGCGATCAAAGAGAAATTCTACGTTCAGGTGAGGGTGCTGACTTCTCGACACATCCAACTTAAAGATAATTAATAGATAATTAAAGTCAAATTCAGCTGTAACGGAATATCCACGACAAAGCCCCGTACTTTATTCATTAAGAGTTTGAAACAGAAAATCGCAGCACTTGGGTTTTTACCTTAAAGCAAAATTTAACTGAAAATATTTCAAATATTTCAGGGCTGCGAAGAGGAGATACATGACTACGTAGACAAATGGTCAGGAGTTGTAACCGGGATACTGATAGCTATAGCTGTGCTTCAAGTTGTGTGCTTCCTGTTTGGAGTGTGCTTATCCTGCTTCAAGAAGGACTGAAAACAGATCATTTGCAATATGAGAGGATGTCTCGTGATTTTAACTTTGGTAAATTGCACAGGGCACAGGGTTGGAACCATAATCAAACACCGTGAACTGCTTTACTTGGGTCAAGAGTCAAGGTGCTTTAGATATTTCAAAACTGAATAAAGCCCAAAAACGAACTGAATAAATTATGACAATGTTAAAATCTTACCACATATAGTAGAGAATTACTGGTGATATATTGTTTTACTCCAGTAGCAGGGAGGAGTTGAGTGTGCACTTCGATGTACAGAGTTTTTTGCTGCCGAATCGGGTTAAATAGGTCATTGGTAACTCAAAAAATCGAGGGCCGCATGTTGTGTCGCTAGTCCCAACCCTGTGGAGCCACGCCCATATTTCATATCAGGTGCGTATATGGGAAATATGTATCTCAGCTTCTGAAGGTCTTAGAGACTTAAACTTGAGTTTAAAATGACCGCAATACACATGTTTATATTGGTACTATGAAGGTCATGAAAGCCCAAAATGCTTATTTTTGGAAAAAATTCAGAAAAACCAATTTTCACTTGGGCGCGAGTAAAAAATCTACACTAGAAATTGAGTGAAAATCGAGTAAGCAGTTCAGTGTCTACAACATTTCTAAACACAGGGTCCTCTGTTAGGTCATTCTAAATCAGAATTGATAAAGTAAGCAAATTTTATTAGTAGTTTCAACCCTGTGGAGCCACGCCCATATTTCATATTATGTGCGAATATCGGAAATTTGTATCTCAGCTTCTGAAGGTCTTAGAGACTCAAAGGTGGGCTTAAAATGACCGCAATGTACATGTTTATATTGGCACTACGAGGGTCATGAAGGCCCAGAATGCTTATTTTTTGGAAAAATTCAGTAAAACCGATTTTCAAGTTTGCGACACTTGGGCGTGAGTAAAAATCGACGCTTAGAAGTTAAGTGAAATCGAGTATGAAGTTCAGTGTCTGCAACGTTTCTAAACACAGGATCCTTTGTAAGGTCATTCTGAATCAGAATTGATAAGGTACGCAAATTCTATGAGTAGTTTCAACCCTAGGGAGCAAAACTCCTAAATTACCCCCAGGCGCAAATATATGACTTTTCTATCTCGGCTTCTGAACGTTGTAGGGGCCTCTCTTTGAGCGCAAACTAACTACGATGGCCACATTTATATACCAACTGTAAAGAAACATAGGGTCTATACTCTATAGTGCTTAGTTTTTAAAAACTCATTAAAAACTGTTTTAACCTTCATGCATCATAAAATAGTAACATCAAACATGTACTTAATTATGGTATCTCGGGCTAAAAAAGTCTTATAGACATTTCCAGCACAGTAAAACGTTCAACATGAACACATTCGGATAACATTTATGGAGCAGCACATACCACCTAACTTTAATTAGGTGGTATGTGAGAGTTAGACTCTCACTTCGTCAACTACAATTCAAAATAACTTTAATTTTGGTATAACTGCGAAAATACTCAGTTTCAGAAGCTCCTTCCAGCTATCTTAGGCTGCCACCAGCTCCCTCTCTGGGACTCTCTCCAGTACTGCTTGGCTATTATGGCTAATCAACTTGAATCCAACCTCATGTAGTAGAATCTACTTCTAGTTACCTTCTGCTAAGTCCATGTCAACTCTACCCAGCTACCACCACCAATATGTTATAATTTTAGATCTTTCTAGCAACCTCTGATATGAGTGCTGTATAACCTCTGCTGCATCCAACAATTTCTAGCTTATTAAGGAAGAGGAAATTTGCTGTTTCTAGCAACCTCTAAACGCCAGAATAAAATGTTGCTGATGGTTGCTAGACAGGGCAAGAAGTAGCCCACTACCCTAAGCTAAAGTTGCTAGAAATAGCAGAAGTTGGAGGAACCTTGGTAGTAGCTAAATAGAGGTAGCCGAAGTAGGTGGAGACAGCTGGAATTGGTGGTTTCTGCCATCTGGTGGTATAGTAGCTGGATAGAGGAAGAGGTAGCACTCATATCAGAAGTTGCTAGAAAGATCTAAAATTATAACATATTGGTGGTGGTAGCTGGGTAGAGTTGACATGGACTTAGCAGAAGGTAACTAGAAGTAGATTCTACTACATGAGGTTGGATTCAAGTTGATTAGCCATAATAGCCAAGCAGTACTGGAGAGAGTCCCAGAGAGGGAGCTGATGGCAGCCTAAGATAGCTGGAAGGAGCTTCTGAAACTGAGTATTTTCGCAGTTATACCAAAATTAAAGTTATTTTGAATTGTAGTTGACGAAGTGAGAGTCTAACTCTCACATACCACCTAATTAAAGTTAGGTGGTATGTGCTGCTCCATAAATGTTATCCGAATGTGTTCATGTTGAACGTTTTACTGTGCTGGAAATGTCTATAAGACTTTTTTAGCCCGAGATACCATAATTAAGCACATGTTTGATGTTACTATTTTATGATGCATGAAGGTTAAAACAGTTTTTAATGAGTTTTTAAAAACTAAGCACTATAGAGTATAGACCCTATGTTTCTTTACAGTTGGTATATAAACGTGGCCATCGTAGTTAGTTTGCGCTCAAAGAGAGGCCCCTACAACGTTCAGAAGCCGAGATAGAAAAGTCATATATTTGCGCCTGGGGGTAATTTAGGAGTTTTGCTCCCTAGGGTTGAAACTACTCATAGAATTTGCGTACCTTATCAATTCTGATTCAGAATGACCTTACAAAGGATCCTGTGTTTAGAAACGTTGCAGACACTGAACTTCATACTCGATTTCACTTAACTTCTAAGCGTCGATTTTTACTCACGCCCAAGTGTCGCAAACTTGAAAATCGGTTTTACTGAATTTTTCCAAAAAATAAGCATTCTGGGCCTTCATGACCCTCGTAGTGCCAATATAAACATGTACATTGCGGTCATTTTAAGCCCACCTTTGAGTCTCTAAGACCTTCAGAAGCTGAGATACAAATTTCCGATATTCGCACATAATATGAAATATGGGCGTGGCTCCACAGGGTTGAAACTACTAATAAAATTTGCTTACTTTATCAATTCTGATTAAGAATGACCTAACAGAGGACCCTGTGTTTAGAAATGTTGTAGACACTGAACTGCTTACTCGATTTTCACTCAATTTCTAGTGTAGATTTTTACTCGCGCCCAAGTGAAAATTGGTTTTTCTGAATTTTTTCCAAAAATAGGCATTTTGGGCTTTCATGACCTTCATAGTACCAATATAAACATGTGTATTGCGGTCATTTTAAACTCAAGTTTAAGTCTCTAAGACCTTCAGAAGCTGAGATACATATTTCCCATATACGCACCTGATATGAAATATGGGCGTGGCTCCACAGGGTTGGGACTAGCGACACAACATGCGGCCCTCGATTTTTTGAGTTACCAATGACCTATTTAACCCGATTCGGCAGCAAAAAACTCTGTACATCGAAGTGCACACTCAACTCCTCCCTGCTACTGGAGTATTTATACAGATAGTGATAAAATGATTTATTTACCAAATCCATAAATCTAAGATACACACCTATTAATATTAATAACACTCATATTATAAATAACAACCCGTTTGTTTGTTGTAACTTATAACCTTATAAAAAGCGTAGAATTTTATTCTAAAAAAACATCGTAGACATCGTTTCTCTTCTCTAATCAGACCGACCTTAAACTAACACACACATTTTCTCTCACTCATTTCTGGTCAACCCCATTCGTACATACAATTACATACTGTGTGTCACAAAAACGATATTTATTAAATAAATCGAGAAATTTAATCGGTTGCATTTAAAGAATAGGAGATATAGTATAGACAAGTAGATTGTAGGGGCTATCTCCTTCGTCGTGAAGCATCAATGGATTGAATGTAGTTAACTGCTCTTCAAAGGGCAGTTACTCCGAGGGAATGTAGTTGACTACTCTTCAAAGAGCAGTTACTCCGAGGGAATGTAGTTGACTGCTCTTCAAAGAGCAGTTACTCCGAGGGAATGTAGTTGACTACTCTTCAAAGAGCAGTTATTCCGAGGGAATGCCTCTGATCGCTCATTGGCTCCATTGTGGACCACGTGTTCCGCACTGGATCGTATATCTCCAGCGAGGACAGTCTGTGAGCACCATCACATCCTCCAGCTACAAACATATTCTCTCCTAAAACTGCTGCACCACAACCATACCTGGGTAGAAATTAATCAGTAAATAACTTAGACGTAAAAACTGAAAATCAACAACTTAATCATCAGCTTATCGACTATCTAAATACTTGATAAGACTAGATTCAAATCACTAAATAGCAACAATATCCGGAATTAAATCAGCTTGACCACTTCTCAAATAACCTGGAGGAAAGAAGAGGGCTCATAGGATACCACAAGTTGTTCCTAGGATCATAGCACTCAACAGAGTCTAGAAGAGTCATCAGAATCTGCCCTCCTGGCACGTATATACATCCTTTCAGTGTTACTGCTGCCGTTAAAGATCTGAAAGGAAACATTCTTAAAGTTTTAACATCTGGGAGGGGGTAGCTTATTACATTAATGAGCAATTTGGTGATGACTGATGATTTACATAAGTGTTTTATGAAACGTATTAAAGTCGAAATTTTCGCACCTCTTTTTCTTCATGGGTGCCACCATACACCATTTATCTATTCTCGGGTCGTATCTCTCCACAGTGTTCAAATCTGTAAAATATTACTGTTTTAATGAGAATTAGAGAGTTTGAGTAAACTTTTGCAGTTGATCTATTGTACCATGTCTTCAGGTCAAAAATGTTATAAAGTATTTGGCTCTACTCTTTTCCTTAAAAACAAGTTACATCAGCTCACAGTCCATGTCTCTTCAGTAATTGAGAACAAGTAGCAAGATAACCAAGTAAATTATGTCACTTAAACCTTGCATCATTGGTTAAGTGTGATCCAAGGGAGGTGGAGACTAGTTCAGTACGTGTGATATTTTTCAAGCTACATTCCTGACTTAATACCAAGTCAGAAAGTGAAGTAAGGAAACTAAGTGCTCCACTAGCCGGGAAAAAGGCTACACGTGCGATTTAAGATGCTTCACGTCACACGTGACCCTAATTACTCCTTCATTAACAGAACAACTTGACCTTAGATGGCACGGTAGGTTTCTTTTACTGCCTTTTTCACTTATTATGTGGACGATGTCCGCAAACGTCTTTTTGGTTATACTCTTAAGTTGCTTATCCGTAATAAAGCCAGAGATTCCACCTTGGCGAATAAAACAGAATCTGAAGTTAGGTGAGGACTGTGTGTATTCGAGTTTTTCATTTAGAATTAAAACAAATTCTTCATATTATGGAGCCAGGATATGTGACCTTGTCATCACTACATTAAGTATATATCATTGCATGAGCCTTCCTTTAATAATCAGGAATGGCTTCCTATGAAAAGTTGAACCACACACTTATATTATTAGCTTTAATGATCCTCAATTTTCAGCTGTTTTGTATACAGAATTGGAAAGTCACCCAACAAAAGAGATAATAGACATGGCGGTAGAAGAGGTGAACAGTGTCTCCAACACCTACAACCTGCAGGTCATATACCGCCAGTACTCCTACCAGTCTAGTGATGTGTTTGACAGTGTCTGTTCCAGTTTAGAGGAAGGAGTGATCGGATTAGTAGCTTCTGGGTCTTCTAACAACGTGAAGATTATAGCTGAGATAGCAACAAACTTCCACGTGCCCTCCATAAGTCCTTCAGCAACAAACCCGTTCATTCAACAAACATTAACTACAGAGTATTTACTGAACCTCATGCCGTCAGACTACGAACAGTGCAAAGCAATATTTGAGCTCCTGAAGCATCACGAATGGAAAGACTTCTCGATACTCACATCAGCGGATGATTACGGGATAAATGGGATGCTGAAATTACAGTCGCTAGCAATGGCTCAGGGCTTCAAGATTCTTAATAACCAACAGTTTGTCGTTCCAGGAAGTCACCATGATTCGGAATACGCACAGCTTGACATAAAGATGGAGCTGGAAGTCATCAAACAGTCCCTGTCTAAGATTATCGTGCTCATTTGTGATGGTTGGTACAGTCCCGCCATTTTCAGGCAAGCCAGAGATGTAGGTCTGATGACCAATGAGTATGCCTGGATTGTGACAGACGGTATAGCCACACAACCCATAGTACTAGAAGAGAACGGGACCATACCAGACTATCTCAACGGGCTTCTGGGGACGAGGCCAACTATTTCACTAAACAGCCCCCAATACAAATCACTGTACAACAAGTTCGTGACCAAGTTTCCGGGAAAACGGTTTAACCTTGGTGGATATGTATTGACGCTCTATGACACCATCAAGGTTTACGCGGACGGACTAAACTTATATTATCAGGAGAACCAGAATATGGAATCAAAGGAGTTTTACTGTCACCAGAACATCCTTAATGGCGAGTATCAATATTGGGAGAACGGATACAAGTTCTTGGGTGCACTTAAACGTGTTGACCTAGACACCGGCATGACAGGACACATCCAGTTTGACAAAATGGGCTGGCCGAGGAACGTTGTCTACGATGTTTTGAACATTCAGAATCAAAACTTTGTACGGATAGGAACTTGGAAACTGGTATCTAACGAACTAAAACTTCCCTACAAGGCCATATACTTTGACCATTCTGATACAGCTCCCACCTCGAAACCCAAAACCCTGAAAGGTTCAAAGTTCATCTGCGGAATCCTACCAATAAAACCCTTTATCATAGAGACAAGCGGGCCGTGCGAGGGCAAGAGCTGTTACACTGGTTATATGATTGACTTGATTGAGCGGCTAAAAATTGACCTTCAGTTTGAGTACGAGTTTGTGCAGCCTCACGACAGAAAATGGGGTTCTTACAACTCATCGGTACAAGATTGGACGGGACTGGTAAGGCAGCTGGTCTACAACGAGATCGATATTGCGGCAGTACCTCTTTCTGTGAATTCTGGGAGGGAACACATCATTGACTTTTCTTTTCCTTTTATGGATTCAAGCAACACAGCAGTCATGAGAGCTTCTAAATCAACCCAAAACAGATTCTTTTTCCTTCTTCCATTCGAAAATAAAGTCTGGTTTTCAGTGATAATCATGAACTTTATTGTGACATTTTTCTTCTACCTTGCGAATAAAACCAGCCCGTATGGAAGATCAGCGTCCTACGTGCACGCTCTCATGTCTTGCACGTGCAAAGAATGTCTCAAACATCGCTCGGGACAGAAGGATCCTAATTTGACAACACTGGCCAGACCCCTGACTCGTAAGTGCCTCTTTACGAAAGGTTCTGCAAAGGATGGCAGAAACGGGACCAATTTCTACAACTCTTTTTGGATTGTGAGCTCTGGACTGTTCGGGAAGACCCGAGGAGACAGCCCAGATAGCTTGTCAGGTGCGGCTTATACTTAAAAAATTTCCTTTTAACAATGTTTTAAATTTCATTTGTTGCCTTTTTTAAAAGATCTGATCTAATCGGATAAAAGTTATGGAACGTTTGATACAATTCAGGAAGGTTTATCCTCTGCGCTTGGTGGTTTTTCATGATGGTTGTGACCTCTATGTACACAGCTAACTTGGCAGCTTCACTCACCGTCAACAACATGGATATTGGTATCAAATCGGTTAAAGATCTTCTCGCCCAGGTACTTGGCCTGACTAGAGTAATATTCATTTTTTTGAAAATATAGGGGGGGGGGGGGGGGGGGGGGGGGGGGGTTCACTACGCTTTTTGCACTTTTTGACACTACACTTTTGCCTTTTTTTGGTGTATGGTGTAGTAAAAAGTGTAGAAAAAAAGGTACACATTTTTACACCTTTTCACACTTTTAATTACACTTAACCAAATTATCTTCTAAAAATTATCTTTTTCCCAATTATTGTCTTATCAGACTTCACATAGTACATTTCCAAAGGTAAAACATACCTTGTTTCAGAATTGACATACTTTCTCTAGCTCGGCAGGAAATGCAATATTCTTATCAATATGATAGTTTTCTCAAAACTTTTATCATGTTTTCAGAACGATATTACGTGGGGTACAGTAAAGTCAACCCACACGGAGTCAATTCTCCAGTCCTCAGTAGATCCCTTCTACAGGGAGCTCTACACCAGAGCAGTTTCAGTAGGTAATGAATCCGAAGCTGCAAGAAAAGTGAGGGAGGAAAAGTATGTTTTCATCTTTGAAACCCCAATCATCGATTACGAGTTCAGGTCTGATTGTGACGTGGTAAGGATCGGCGCGGAGTTCCAATCATTTGAGTATGCTCTGGGGTTCCCCAAGGGATCTCCATACGCCGAGCTGATAAACTCCTACATCCTACAGTACAGAGAAACAGGCGTCCTTGACAGCTTCTGGTCACGCTGGCTAGCAATCCAAGACTCCACTTCCAACTGCCCGAGTAGCGAAGGAGGCAGGAAGCTCACCCTTGGCATGAGCTCCATGGCTGGGATCTTCTTCGCTCTGGCAATAGCACTGACATTCGGTGTGTTTCTCCTCATTATGGAGTACACTGTGGCAGCGATGAGGGACGTTAGAACCAACTCTCAGGACTCTAAGAAGTCGTTTTGGGGGTCTCTGATAAGCAGGGTAAAACTCCTGTTGATCTACACGTTCAGTTCTAAATCAGTGTACCAACATGATGAGATGGAGGAAGAGGAGGAGGAGGAGGCGGGGTGTTCAGCTAGGTTTCTGAACAAACCTAGACAGCATAGTATCATGTGACTTTTATCTGGGTGATACGGATGCTAACTCATCTGGTAGCTATTGATTTTTACCTTGGCAAGGGTACAAACAGTAACCAGTACGGTGTCCAATAATCCATATTAATATTGTAATAAGTATATGTTTATCAAATCTGCATATTCAAAAAATAAAGATTTAGTTTTTCTTTGGTATTTAATCATCAAAATAAAAACTTCAAAGTGCTAACCTGTATAACCATCGTAACCCCCAGCAACGTAAATACACCCATCAATAACCGTTACACCAGCAGCACTGCGGGAGGTTGCCATCCGGCTCGAATCAAACCATTGGTCTCGGTGACAGTCATATCTGAAAAGTCAGTTATTTAACTTTAAGAATGTCATGTATCCTGAGGATAATGGTCATACCTTAGGTTATATTTATATGTACTCCAAATTTGGTGAAAGTTTAAAAAAAGAACCTTTCGACAGTCGCAAGTCGTGCGTCTTCTCTCCGTCCGCCGATAGCATACACAAAATCATCTAGGCAAACCATCCCTGGAAAATAATCCATGAAATTGAAAATGGTGGGAAGTGATAAAAAGTTTCTTTTGGCTACTAGCCTTTCATCATAAAATCAAAATAATTTCCCCGGCCAAATCTCCGATATTTCATTCTTGGACCGTACCCAAGTTGCCACCCAGGAAGTATAGTTTGCAAAAGCTTTATCGGTTTAACGTCATACTGACGCAAAAAACAACGAATAAACGCTTAAATTTGGGCGATGTTTTAAGATGGAAGACGGCAGGACGAATAGAAGTGAACCTAAGCGTTATTGCTGAGCATATTTAAAATAATGCTACATACGGATAGAAACATTTGGCTACTTTAATCACCAACCACTACCAGCCTCAGCTAGGTCCCCAACAATTCTATATTGAGTACAAATTTCCGAATTCAATAAAAACAGATCTCTAGAGCGCAAATAAAACAGTAGCCTAAACTTACCAAGACAAGACCGAGGACATGCGAGCGGCGCGACCACCTTCCACGTGTCATCATACGGAGTGTAACACTCGACTGAGTTGAGGAAGACTCGTCCTCCGAACCCTCCTCCACAGTAGAGGGCTCCGTTGCATGAGGTCACGCCTACACTTGATCTTCCCATGTTCATTGGCGCTACCTGGAGGGGGTTATTAAGGTGTTAATTTCTTGTTTTTAGCTTCAAGAGGAGGCGTTATATTTAGTGGTAAAGTTTATTCTTTCTGTTACAGACCTAATCTAAGTTTGACCTTAAATGAAAACTCGTCAACATGGCAAATATGTACCTGAATCCAGCGGTTAACTTCACTATCATAGCGTTCTACACTGGCTAACTTTATCCCGGTGTTGTTCTCCCCGCCGACTGCGTAGATAGAGCTCGCTAGATAGGTCCTCGCTTTGGATCTTATGGTGGGAAACTCTGACCGTCTCTGTATAACAGGGCTATTATTTAGCGGAGTATACTTAATGCGTCACCAGAGTTTAATAATACAATCAAAGTTTTACTGATATGAGCTTTTATTGAGGTTTTACAGTTATATCTTCATTCTTCAATAATGAGGTAAGTTTCAGTCTGTAGCTGTAAGTTATTGAGATAAGTTTCAGTCTGTAGCTGTAAGTTATTGAGGTAAGTTTCAGTCTGTAGCTGTAAGTTATTGAGGTAAGTTTCAGTCTGTAGCTGTAACACTGTGTAGCTGTAAGTTTCAGTCTGTAGATGTAAGTTATTGAGGTAAGTTTCAGTCTGTAGCTGTTAGTTATTGAAAACAGCAAGTACCTGAGGTAGGAGATGATATGCGGTAGCTTCGTCCAGAAGTGATTTACACTTGACGTTCTCAGAGACTAGTATTTCAGTTTGTACACAGTCCAGTAGAATTTTAGGAGACATGACCCCTGAAGGTATATCAGGTTCACTGAATTGCAAGGTGGTCAAAGCAATTGAAACAAACAGGCTACTTCAGCCAAAACTCTCAATCGTTCCTGATGATTTGCCGAACAGATATGAACACAGACACAAGCCTGTACAATGTACACAGCACCAGAGGCAATATTTAGATACGCTCGCGATGGATACTATACGTTGGATGCAGAATCACATATTTTCTGTATTATTTAGTATAATTATGCGATATAAAACAATAAAAAGTGCAGATGCATTAGTCACGAATTTTATCGCACTTAAATTGCACTGTAGCACTCACCAAAGCGGACGTGCTCTAAAATATCAGGGAGAAGTGATCTCCTCTTATCCTCGTCATGTTTCACCCACTTCACCACCGCGTTGAACACCTGTAATTACAATTGGGTGTCATATGTTTATTGGTCCACCTTTCTTTACTTTAGGCAAGTCTCCTCTCTGTACTCGTGCGACGTACAAAATTCAAGATGGATCAACAATTATAATATTCATTGATTGCTCACGTCCCAAGATTAAGATATTTCCCATCAGTTATATCTTGTTTTGGGGACATTTACTTGGTGCTGACTTCAAATATCCAATCCATACTAGAGTTAGTAAGTATCGGGCTATAGATACAATACTTATACTACTTCTTGAGAAATACTTGTGATGAACTCTAGAAGGATGGGATGGTAATACTCGGTCTGGCCGTCTGGAAGCCCATAGAATTCCAGTTCAGAAACCGAGTAAGGAGGTGCGGCTACTGATGAGAAGCCTCCTTAAAGTTTATTTGGGTTAGAAACGACATCTGGGTCCCTACCCTCGCACAAGATTATTCTCAATTTTCTTGTTGTGTCCACAACTATACCGTTGATCAGAGTCACATCTGATGACTTCAGTGAAAGGGCTGATGACTTCAGTGAAAGAGCTGGTGACCTAGTGAAAGTGCTGGTGACGATGAGAAAGACCATAAACCAGGGATTCCTTCGGGAGCATGTAAGATTATATCCAAAGTTTGTTCGCCAATGGGGTGTGTCTGGATGTCAAAGATCTTCAAGGTGGGTGCTACTTGTGATGAACTCTAGAAGGATGGGATGGTAATACTCGGTCTGGCCGTCTGGAAGCCCATAGAATTCCAGTTCAGAAACCGAGTAAGGAGGTGCGGCTACTGATGAGAAGCCTCCTTAAAGTTTATTTGGGTTAGAAACGACATCTGGGTCCCTACCCTCGCACAAGATTATTCTCAATTTTCTTGTTGTGTCCACAACTATACCGTTGATCAGAGTCACATCTGATGACTTCAGTGAAAGGGCTGATGACTTCAGTGAAAGAGCTGGTGACCTAGTGAAAGTGCTGGTGACGATGAGAAAGACCATAAACCAGGGATTCCTTCGGGAGCATGTAAGATTATATCCAAAGTTTGTTCGCCAATGGGGTGTGTCTGGATGTCAAAGATCTTCAAGGTGGGTGCTACTTGTGATGAACTCTAGAAGGATGGGATGGTAATACTCGGTCTGGCCGTCTGGAAGCCCATAGAATTCCAGTTCAGAAACCGAGTAAGGAGGTGCGGCTACTGATGAGAAGCCTCCTTAAAGTTTATTTGGGTTAGAAACGACATCTGGGTCCCTACCCTCGCACAAGATTATTCTCAATTTTCTTGTTGTGTCCACAACCGGTTACTTGTAGTACTAGTAGTGGTTTATCGTATACATATAATATATCGTATATAATTACAGGGATAGTCCAGAGTTTAATAATTGGGGTCCACTGCTTGTTTACTCCTTTCTTCACATTGCCTTATCTTAAATTTGATCCTTCGAACAGCTGTTGAGCAATGAAACGCAAACATAATCTTAGCAAAATGAATATATTTCTTTTATCTTCAGCATTTAATCAGTCACATAATCTCAAATTATTTGTTATATAGTAGTGTTGAAAGTATTAAAACTTTACATTGCAGCGAACTTCAACTGGCCTCTTTGAGATCACTTTACAACTGACCCATTTTCATAAAATAATACGGATTCATGTCACAACATTCTACAATCAGCCCGCTGGTAAGTGATGTTCCAAGCTGTGGACCTGGTTAATCATTAGTACTCGACAAGAAAATACTCGACAAGAAAATACTCTGCATTTATTCGGATAAACTTTAATCTTACGAACCAATTTGACAAATATAGCTACAGGTCACAAGAACAAGATTATCCAAAAAGGAAACCTTCGATGGCAATATTGATTACTTGGTTTCGGAATTGGAACTAGAAGAATTTTATGTACAGCTTTCAATAAAGGTTGGAAAATTAATATGATTCGACGACAGTCAAAAGAAAGCTTTAGCTTTACGGTGTTAGATATAATAACTAATATGGAACAAATAGAAGTGAAACATATCATCCAACTATGAAAGAACAACTGTATTCTGTTAAAACTGAATAATACCGAGACATGTAGTACATATCATTATCTGTATTCCTTATTTAATCTATGAGATTAGAGCGAGGCATCTTCTAGTTTCTAATCCTAGTATATTTTCATTGTCAGAAATCGCTCTTTCGGGGTAGAAAAAATCGTGTTTTCTGGACAGTTCATCCAATGCTTGGTCATTTAGAAAACCTCTTTTCCATAATTTGACCATCATCACCGTTTCGTTCTCTTAGCAGAATGTCCACTTCGAGCTGCAGTTTGTCCTGTTCTCCCGACAGTGAATGGTTTGCTGAGCTCCTCTATGAATCGTAGTGCAGCTGGTCTGCCAATGTCGGGTAACTTCTTTATGTTCTGAAGCTTCTTTTCTAGACGATCTATTTTCCTGTGGAGGTGAACTGTTAGCCAAGTCGTCAGCAGTTATAAATGTGCTAACAAATATCTCACCATTGATAGATTATTAGAAAGCTTGGAGATTAAAATCGCAAAATCAAACATATTATATAAAACGCTAAAAATTATACTCACAAGAAAATATAAAGTTTAGGATAAGGAGAGATGTCTCCAGGACACATGCTCATAAGCTCCTCCGAGATACTCAGAAACAAGTGAGAGCCAGGGTAGACAGACTTCCTGAATTGTCGCCTCTTAAAGGTAATGTGTTTCAGGATATCTAGATTAGTTGGAGGGTATGAGGATCTCGGGGTCAACTCGACAGGTTCTCCGATCAGTTCCATCAGCTTCATCGTGGTGGGTTAAAGATGGAACACAAGGGAGGGTCTGCGGCTTGTTTTTCAAATTCACAAGTTCGAGTGAGAGTTCAAAGGTCAACTTTCGCGAGAAAAGTGGTCAAAGGGTGTAAAGTACAAGGGGTGTAAAGTACAAGCTGATCAAATGAACAAAAAGGGCAATTCAACGACAATAACTGATGGACAAAGAGCGACACTGACTGATCGAGAGAGCGAGAACAATGAGATATGTATCTTGAAACCTCATTATCTTACAACCTAATTAACACGTGATTACCCCATTACCACGTGATAAGTAATAACTGACTACCCCATTACATGTGTATCTCGTGTATCTCGTGTACCTTATTAACAAGGTAGTATGATATGATAATTGCATAGTTAGATGAAATGAGGGATACAATGTCATCAAGTAGGCGTTATTTTACATTTCGTGTCTACAGGAGTTCAGACACTAATCATAAAATTAGGTAATTAGGTAATTACACTCTAATGTGATTCGAGAATTGGGTAAACTACCGGACTCCGTGTTCTCGTTATAGGATCTGGGATTTTGTACAATTGGTCGGTCGTAAACTTGCTTCAAACTATACAGTTTACACACAGAAAACATACTCAAGTAAGGTTTTTAATTACATCATGTGACGATTGATATGGAGATTAGAGTGTTATGTTACATTTTGACTAGGAGGGCAAATAAAAGCTGTATAGTAGTTTCATATACAACATCACAGGAAATAAACTTATTCTGACTAAGTTATCCATGTTCCTACCAGAGGAGTCTGATTATATTGGTTGTTATGGAACTTAAAACTCTACATCAGACAGAGTAGGGTCTCGATTACAACTCGGACAAGAATCTCGCTGCAGTCGCGCTAGGGCCTGTCGTGATATGCTGGATTAAATGAGTGGTAGTAGTTAGTAGTACTCCTAATTCTGCGGCTTCTGTTCGGCAGTGCCGCAGTTGATTGGGCACAAGGTCACGTGATTATGACGTCACCTGAGCTGCAGCTCCGTATCCGTTCATTAGAAGTAATGAGAAGACATGCTTGTGAATGTGGATTGTGGATGTATAGGTGCCCTGTTAACTGTGTGGGAACTGGGTCGAATTGGATGAAGTTGTCAGTTACCCGTTGTTCGGTGTATACTGTCATGTATCTATAATTACACCTAATGAAAATTCAGATTTATTTTATGACCGAGAGCTTGATAATAACCAAATAAGTCGACCTGGTAATAAATTCATTTTGGCAACAATATAAACCAGGGAAATGAGCTGAGACTGGAGACACAAAAGTTCAGCTATATCCCTCTATTCTAAGAACTACATCAGTTAGCTTACATTGAGTTCTGCTCTAGCTATATTTATTTTTATTTTTCCCCAAAGTCCACTGTATATCGTGTTTTTACTGTACCTAAATTTAATTTTACCTCGCCTAAGTTTTACCTCGATTTCGGAAGAGACTTTAAGTTCGTCGTGAGATATGAGCTTGACAAGGTGCTCCAACTCTAAGTTCGAGAACTCCGCACATCTCGTCACCTCCAAGAAGTGGGCCCTGAGGAACAGGAATTTGAAAATTTAACTGAAGTAAAACAATTATCTTTGTTGGAATTGGAAATTTCAAACCTTTTCGGATACACTTTTTAATTTTCTGACATCTAGCAATACAACCAGCGGTAGGAAATTTTAAAACTTTTCAGTTAAATTTTAATTCTCATGTTTGCCACTCGGTTCCGGTCTGGCAAACTAGGGTACGTGTCGAACTTGAGTACCACTTCATGTACCCCATGGGCCATGATTCAGCCTCTTGCCCTCTTGTAATATTAATTGTATCTCCACATAGTGAATAGTCTCCAATTGTGCTAACAATCACAATGGAAGAATGGAGTCTGAGGTCAGTTAAACGCCAACTTTTAGTGATCAATTATCTCAATGAGCTCCCAATAAGATTAAATTCACACAATTAACAATATATATGAATATATAGTCGAACAGCATGATATAAGTGGAAAACAACCGATTGAATAGACTTCAAGTTGGTAACGGTAAAGTTGTTAAAGGATCGTAGCTTGGCGATTTCAAAACTTTACGCAAAATGTTAAATTCTCTGACATTTAATTGGAAGTGGGAAATTTAAAAACTTTCTATAGGCCGTCTAGACGTTGATCACATCGATGGAAAAAAATTGGGGGTACCGGGAAGAAAGTTATCTGGAACCCCTAGCCTGTTTCACGACATATTGTGAGCAAGGACAAAAGAAAATCGCGATTATTTAAGCCAAAAATCGCGGCACCGCGACATGCCAAACTAGGCAAAATCGTGTCGAAAATCTCGAAAATCGCGGCGAAAGATAATGTATTTGCAGAGCAAAGTTAGATGTCACATATTCGTTGACTATCTCGTTAGTTTAGTTAGATAAGCTATAAAAACTGAGCACTAGCAGAGACTGCTTTTAGCTGGTAGGAACGATCTCGAAAGTTCCTACCAGCTCGCCAGACCTCGCCAGAACGGAACTCGATGTTCCACTTCGAAATTCGAATCTGTACTCATATGCATAACATTATTAGTTAACTTGTGTTAATAATTTACATACTACACGTAATCAAACAAATAAACCCTGTTTACAATGAGATAATATCACGTGATTGAATCACGTGTTTTGATAACAAAGCTAGAGACTAAGGGGTAAGGAGTACACTTCTTTTCATGTGTTTTATAGACTGACCATGAGTTCCTTTTCCCAAATTGTACTAGTAGTCTTAACTATAATTCTAGAGATTATATTTTGTGGGGACCGAGGGCTCATCGTCCGAGTATAAAGCAGACACTCCTGATCAAGGCCAAAAGAAAATCGCGATTACTTAGGCCAAAAATCGACAAGCCAAACTAAGCAAAATCGTGGCGAAAGATAATGTTAACTATAACGAGCTAGTTAAATTCGTTAACTAGCTCGTTAGAGTCGGATTGAAAGGAGAATGCGCAAATTTATTTCTCAGATTTAAAGAAAAATGCGCAATTTGTCGCGGAGAACTGAAAAAATAGCGATTTGTCGCGGAGAATGGGAAAAATCGCGATACCGCACGTGCAGCGATTTCCTTTTGACCTTGATTGTGAGGTATACATTTAACTCATAAAATATAATTATTTGTTTCAATTCGACGCTCGTCTTGGTAGGTTATTAACCCACAAGGCATACATAATATACTTTGCCTCTCGATTGTAGCCGGACACAGTTGCATCAAAACAATGGCTTTCTCAGGTGTCCGGGCTGGTGTCCGGGCTGGTGTCCGGGCTGGTGTCCGGGCTGGTGTCCGGGCTGGTGTCCGGGCTGGTGTCCGGGCTGGTGTCCGGGCTGGTGTCCAGGCTGGTGTCCAGGCTGGTGTCCGGGCTGGTGTCCAGGCTGGTGTCCGGGCTGGTGTCCAGGCTGGTGTCCGGGCTGGTGTCCAGGCTGATGTCCGGGCTGATGTCTGGGCTGATGTCCAGGCTGGTGTCTGGGCTGATGTCCAGGCTGGTGTCCGGGCTGGTGTCCGGGCTGGTGTCCGGGCTGGTGTCCAGGCTGGTGTCCAGGCTGGTGTCCGGGCTGGTGTCCAGGCTGGTGTCCAGGCTGGTGTCCAGGCTGGTGTCCGGGCTGGTGTCCAGGCTGGTGTCCGGGCTGGTGTCCAGGCTGGTGTCCGGGCTGGTGTCCAGGCTGGTGTCCGGGCTGGTGTCCAGGCTGGTGTCCAGGCTGGTGTCCGGGCTGGTGTCCAGGCTGGTGTCCGGGCTGGTGTCCAGGCTGGTGTCCGGGCTGGTGTCCAGGCTGGTGTCCGGGCTGGTGTCAGGGCTGGTGTCCGGGCTGGTGTCAGGGCTGGTGTCCAGGCTGGTGACAGGGCTGGTGTCCAGGCTGGTGACAGGGCTGGTGTCCAGGCTGGTGACAGGGCTGGTGTCCAGGCTGGTGACAGGGCTGGTGTCCAGGCTGGTGTCCGGGCTGGTGTCCGGGCTGGTGTCCGGGCTGGTGTCCGGGCTGGTGTCTGGGCTGGTGTCCGGGCTGGTGTCTGGGCTGATGTCGGGCTGGTGTCTGGGCTGGTGTCCGGGTGTCCGGGCTGGTGTCCGGGCTGGTGTCCGGGCTGGTGTCCGGGCTGGTGTCCAGGCTGGTGTCCGGGCTGGTGTCCAGGCTGGTGTCCGGGCTGGTGGTCCCCCTCTCCGTGAAACACGGACTGGATTTGTGTACTTTATTTTATGAGAGCATCATAAGCTTTATGAGAGTATAGTTTCTACAACAAGCATCATGGAGAAGAGTTTGTTTAGAGGAACACCCACAGCCCACTCAATCATCCAGACTTTCAATAAATGTAATTTTGACGGAATGATGAAACACGGATTCGATTGTTTTTTAGGGCTATTTGCATGTTTAGGAAGATGACAATGACATTGTGGTTAGGGTTGGGGTGAGTGGTTATTAGGGTATTTACTATGTAGGCAAACAAATTAAACCGTTTCATTTGGCTGCAAAACCGAATGAAGTACTATTTCTATAGCCCCCTCCACCTCTTAGAGTTAGTCTTAGTATTATAAGCCTTAGAAATGTAAAATTGAACAAATTAGGTGATTTTAGAGGATACGATGGTGAAATCTCTTATCTAAAAAAGTGTGTCTGCAAAACGCGTAATCTTACTAGTACTTTTAGACTTAAAAAAGTTAAGATTTTCAAAATTGTCCCACATTCAAAATTACGAAATGGCGCCCCCCCCCCCGGCAGAACTGGGCCCTTCGTTACTCCACTGGCTGTTAGCGTTATTGTTAAGTTTTAATAAAAAAAAACCATCTTTATAGACGTATTTTGGACACGTTTTTCAGTAACGTTTCGCTCTTTCTCGTTGTCATAATTTATAAGTTGCTGCTTTATTACTATTAGCAGAGAAGAAAAATTGTACTTATAAATAGCACAATCTATTCTCCTCAATTTATTAATTAATCTTGATTAATCTACTGAACTTTCATCAGGATGCTCACAGCTGCTTTGTTCTTATCCCTAGTCTCCGTGACCTTAGGAGGTGGCTGACAGCCCTGAAAAGAGAGATCGCAACATTGGAGGCTAGTATAATATTATATATTACAGACTAAATTTGCAGATGATACAAATGGAGGTCTGGAAGAACTAGAAGCCTCTATCGCTGAGTTAGTTGGAATGATTAACAGCATGAAAGCAGCACAAGCACAGAAGGATATCGATCTTGGCTGGCAAGCTCTCCATATGGCCAATGACAGGTGCCGCTGCCTGCCGAGGAAGCACCCCTGAAGGAGGCAGAGGTCCAACTCTGTTATCGCCAAAGAAAACGGAGCGAACTGCGAAATGTTCTGACCAATGTAAGCTAACCGATAGACCCGACTGCAAGTGCAAGGCCGAGGTCGAGTCCAAGGTCAAAAGGAAATCGCAGCACGTGCGGAATCGCGATTTTTCCCATTCTCCGCGACAAATCGCTATTTTTCAGTTCTCCGCGACAAATTGCGCATTTTTCTTTAAATCTGAGAAATAAATTTGCGCATTTTTCTTTAAATCTGAGAAATAAATTTGCGCATTCTCCTTTCAATCCGACTCTAACGAGCTAGTTAACGAATTTATGACATCTTATTCTAACTTAGCTCTGCAAATACATTATCTTTCGCCACGATTTCGCCTAGTTTGGCTTGTCGCGGTGCCTCGATTTTTGGCCTAAGCAATCGCGATTTTCTTTTGTCCTTTAACAGGAGTGTCTGTCGATGAGCCCTCAGTCCCCAAAAAATATAATCTCTAGAATTATAGTTAAGACTAGTAGTACAATTTGTGAAAAGGAACTCATGGTCAGTCTATAAAACACATGAAAAGCAGTGTGCTCCTTACCCCTTAGTCTCTAGCTTTGTTATCAAAACACATGATTCGATCACGTGATGTTATCTCATTGTAAACAGGGTTAATTTGTTTGATTACGTGTAGTATGGTAAATTATTAACACAAGTTATAACTATATAATGTAAAACTAATATAATTATGCATATGAGTACAGATTCGAATTTCGAAGTGTTACATCGAGTTCCGTTATGGCGAGGTCTGGCGAGCTGGAGGAACTTTAGAGATCGTCTGGAAGGGCTGATCTAAAAGCAATCTCTGCTCAGTATTTATAGCTAATCTAACTAGACTAACAAGACAGTCAACACATATATGCCATCTAACTTTGCTCTGCATATACATTATCTTTCGCCGCGATTTTCGCCACGATTTTTCCTAGTTTGGCATGTCGCTGCGCCGCGATTTTTGGCCTAAATAATCGTGATTTTCTTTTGTCCTTGCGGCGAGGTCGCAATTGCTGGCTTGACTGGAAAGGCAGCATTCTACACTAAGTACAGGGTGTTCACGATACATTAAAACGGTTTTAAATGTCTATAAAAACATTTATGAAAGAGCACTCCACTATATTTTCCACTAATTTTCTTTGCCAATCGATTATATTTGTGTTACAACCAGTCCAGATATCAAAATTCTCAAAATTTCAAATATTATATATGGGACACTTTTACAACTACGAGTGTGAACAAGGCGGG